CCTTTTTAACTTAGAAATTTTGGTTAAAGTTTTTTGTAAAGTCAAATATCTCAATTATTGCTTGAGATATTCAATTGAAACTTACAATACTTATTTATAGTAACAAGGTACATCAGATTGACAAGTTGGATAACTCTGCCTAAAATATTGACAGAATTATGCCCCTTTTTAACTTAGAAATTTTGGTTAAAGTTTTTTTGTAAAGTCAAATATCTCAATTATTGCTTGAGATATTCAATTGAAACTTACAATACTTATTTATAGTAACAAGGTACATCAGATTGACAAGTTGGATAACTCTGCCTACAATATTGACAGAATTATGCCCCTTTTTAACTTAGAAATTTTGGTTAAAGTTTTTTTGTAAAGTCAAATATCTCAATTATTGCTTGAGATATTCAATTGAAACTTACAATACTTATTTATAGTAACAAGGTACATCAGATTGACAAGTTGGATAACTCTGCCTACAATATTGACAGAATTATGCCCCTTTTTAACTTAGAAATTTTGGTTAAAGTTTTTTGTAAAGTCAAATATCTCAATTATTGCTTGAGATATTCAATTGAAACTTACAATACTTATTTATAGTAACAAGGTACATCAGATTGACAAGTTGGATAACTCTGCCTACAATATTGACAGAATAATGCCCCTTTTTAACTTAGAAATTTTGGTTAAAGTTTTTTTGTAAAGTCAAATATCTCAATTATTGCTTGAGATATTCAATTGAAATTTAAAATACTTATTTATAGTAACAATGTACATCAGTTTGCAAAATTGCATAACTCTGTCTGCAATATTTGCAGAATTATTTGCCCCTTTGAAACTTAGAAATTTTGGTTAAAGTTTAACGGTCTTCAAAGATATTTACTTGAAACTTTACACATGCACTTAGGGTCATAATTGGAGGGTCATAATTGTATGTCACTGACCAAGTTCCATAACTCTATCTTGCATTAAGGCTGATTCATATCCCCTTTTCTACTTAGTCTCTTGGTTAAAGTTTACATGCAAGTTTTACATATCTCAATAACTATTAAAGATATTTATCTAAAACTTCACATATGCATTTAGGGTCATAATTGTAGGTCACTGACAAAGGTCCATAATTCAATCTTGCATTTAGGCTGATTTTTCTCCCCTTTTTCAACTTAGAAATTCATGGTAAAGTTTTGCTTGTAAGCTGTTATCTCAATAACTACTGAAGGGTTTGTGCCTTTTTTGGGACAATTTTATGCATTCATAATAATAAAGCAGTGATTTACTTGATAAAACATCTTAATAACAAGCCTTTGTACCTTTTCTGTCAAATTTATGTATTCATAGGTAATTAGTATTATTATACTCAATAAAAAAAACCTTGTGACATTACCTTCCGAATAGTCAAGCCAATTCTGTATAATTAGACTCTCTGTAAGGCCTATAACATGAATTTATAAAAAAAAAATTAGCCCTTTTGTGAATTTAAAAAATTTAACAATATCAAGGCTCTTTTACTATCAAGCACTTAGAATAGTCGAGCATGCTGTCCTACAGACAGCTCTTGTATAGTAAGTGTTCAAATAAAAGCCCTGGGGTCAAAACTTGCCCTGCCCCAGGGTTGTCATTGTTTTTAACTATATGTTTAAAGAAAAAACTTTAAAAATCTTCTTTTGAAAAATCCAACGAGCTAGACCTTAGATGTTTAGCATGAAACATCTTCTAATGGTTGTCTACCAAGTTTGTTCAAATAAAAGCCCTGGGGTTTAAACTGGCTCTGCTCCAGGGGCCTATATACAGGTGAGCGACTTCAGAGCCATCATGGCCCTCTTGTTTAGTTGATGTCTTAGTTTAATACAAACATGCAAAGGGAGGTCCTCCTTCTTTGGGTGTAGTAAGGGTTAATTTGGGTCAAGGTCAATGTTACCAATGTCAAGGTCACCAATGTTAAAAATAGATTTTTACAGGTGTATTGACCTTATTCTATAGACAGATGTTATTTATAATTGATAGAAACAAACTTTGATGGAGTTAGTGGTCAGTTGGGTCAAGGTCACCAGTGCTAAAAATAGATTTTTACACATTTGCTTATACAGCCTTTATTAAGTGACAGATATATTTTATATTTGGTAGGAAGATAACTTGCATGGTATTCATCGTTTTGATTGGGGTAGGGATCAGTGGGTCAAGGTCACTTGTGCTAAAATAGATTTTTACACTTTTGCCCATACAGCTTTTATTTATTGACAGATGTATTTCATATTTGGTAGGAAGATAACTTGCATGGTATTCTTCCTTTGGATGGAGTTAGGGGTCAGTTGGGTCAAGGTCACCAGTGCTAAAAATAGATTTTTACACTTTTGCCCATACAGCCTTTATTTATTGACAGATGTAGTTCATATTTGGTAGGAAGATAACTTACATGGTATTCTTCTTTTGGATAGAGTTAGGGGTCAGTTTGGTCAAGGTTACCAGTGCTCAAAATAGATTTTTACACTTTTGCCCATACAGCCTTTATTTAATGACAGATGTATTTCATATTTGGTAGGAAGATAACTTGCATGAAGTTGAATATTTTTCAACTTCACAAGTCAGAGCAATGACTTGGTAACTTATATTTTTTCACAATTACAAAATGCCATGACTTTGTCAAGCTATATAACTTGTGTTTACAATTTTTTGGCAATTTTTCTGTCCATAACTGAGTGAATGGGTAAACATTTTTTGAAATATTGCTACTGACAAGAATCTGAGCCAGGGGCATTTGTGTTTAACAAACACATTCTTGTTTTATTCTGTAATACACATGCGGATATATATGGAAAGGATTCATACTTCGACAAAACTAATGTGACAAGACAGACCTATTAAATTATAAAAAGGAAACATTAAGATATGTTCAAACATTTCTTTGTTTGCTTTTAGAAAAAGTAAAAAGTCGAGCATTGCCCCCGCCCGGCGAGAGGCTCTTGTTCAATATATAAATAACAAAGTTTTCGGCTATTTTCACGGTTGAAAAGACAAATTACAAAAGTTTCTGTAGATGTACTAAATATTAACTCTATTCACAAATAAAACGGATAAACACAATTTATTTATGGTCTACGACTAATTATTTTATAATTTTTTCACACAAGTGAAAATTTTTGCACTCAGCGGAAACCATGCAACATGGAACTGATCAGCGCATGCGCAAAACATCTCATTTAAGAACGAACGAAATTCTTAGACGAAAAATATTTCCCTTGGTTATATAGCCTTGAACCTGTATGCCTCCAGATGAGCCAAAGTATTTCAAGAAAATCATACTTAAAGCAGCACGCCTCCAGATTCATGTTAATTTTCATGAAATTTAAAAGTAAAATATTGTGAGATGAACAAATAAAGCAATTTACATATTACAATCGGAACTTACAATCCAAGAAAGTTACCAGAAAGTGGTCAACATATGCAATAACAGCCCTTACTGCATTAGTAATATGGTGAAAAAACACTGCAAAAGCTGTCTTAAACTGCATATAACATGTAAAATATCACTTGGATATTGAATGTTTTTATCTTTCTTCAAAATTTAGTTCAATTTTCTCAATATTGATTTTCTTGAAATATTTTTGCTCATCTGGAGGTGTGCTGCTTTAAAGATCCTGTATGTTTTAATTAAGGTTGTTACCACACTTAAGTGAAAGATTATATATGTATATAATTATGCTCCTAAAACAATTTTCAAACATAGAAGAATATGTAAAATATGTACTGCAATTGTGTAATTGTCCAGATTATAGGTAATCTAAATCATTAAAATATATGCATTCATTTCTTATTAAAAAATTTGACTAAGACTTTATAGAAAATAATTTTTTATTTACCTCCCTTTATTAACATGAAATGTAAATTCAATAATATCTTTTCAAAAAATGCTTTTTGGAATGCTTCTTGTCATTACCACTTAAATGATTCGCACTAGTATGTGAAAAGCATGAACAAACTGGATTTCCTTTACAAAATATAAATAACAGAACTCAGACATATACTTTTATGCAAGTAATAGCGCTAATGCACCTTTCTGTTTGTATCGACAGAAGCCCTCAGACTTACTTAATCTTTCGCACAGGGGGCTTAGGCTTTAAGTGCATTCTCTAGCTTTTGCAGATGTTAAGGTGCATTTACCCACTATTACATTAAAGGACAGTTTTGGGAAATTTTAATCATAACTGTTTTTTTTATTTACGATGACTGATGAGGACATTTGTTTCTATGTCTTTTTTATGTTTAATAAATTAATGTAGATTGTTATATGATATTTATGGTATAATATATATGGATATAAAAAAGGAGTTGCTTTGTTTTTCAAATTTAAAGGTGGTCATGTTTCCTTTACTATTAACCAGCTGAATTTCAGACATTGCCATTTATGGCCAATAGGTAACACCCTATTGATTTTCTTGCCGCATGTCAAGGTTACCATGGCAATTACCACTAAAAGCTTATCATAACAATTAATTAAAGGACGCTTTGACTGAACCATATTAACTGGTGTGGAGGGTAGTCTAGTAGGTGACTGCGATTGATTGTGAGGTCAAGGTCACAGTGGCACTATAATTAAAATCCTTGTCAGGAAGGAATAATGGGAAGTTTAAACTTGGTACCTAAGAGGCAATTGCTGCTTGTGTCTGATGTTAAATGTTGGACTGCAGCTTTACAGATGGAGAGCTTCAGGGGAGACCACCTAGTAGAACCTGTCACGATGTTGCTTGGTAACTTGAAAGAAATCAATAAAGTCACGATGTTGCTTGGTAACTTGAAAGAAATCAATAAACTATCAGAAAGAGATTGGCAATTACCTGCAACCAGGCTTTAACCATTACTTGTATTAAGTTAAATTTTATTTAAGCTAGGGTAACAAATTCACTTTATATATAATTGAAGATGTATATAGATAAAGTAAGAAAGCAAAACAAAACTTGTTATAATTAATTTATTCACAAAGATTTCCAGGAGTTTTGTATAGAAGATAAATATCACTGTTTCCTTGCATCAAAGAGTCCAAAGAAACAGTTAAGATTCAAACCCACATGAGTTATGCGCAAGTAATATTTAAAGTCATTATCCTAAAGGAAAGTGATATAAAGTCAGCAATCTTGACCACTCAGCCATATGCAAGTGACATTAAGTCAGCAATCTTGACCACTGGGCTATATGCAAGTGACATAGCAATCTTGACTGCTCAGCTATATGCAAGTAACAAAGTCAGCAATCTTCACCACTTGGCATATGCAAGTGACCTTAATAACTTGGCCATGGGCAAGTGATATAATGTCAGCGACTTTAACCACACAGCCATGGGCAAGGGACATAGTCAGCAACCTTGACCACTCAGCCATAGGCAAGTGATATAAATTCAGCGACCTTGACCACTCAGCCAAGGGCAAGTGATAATATAGTCTGCAACCTTGACCACACAGCCATGGACAAGTGATATTGTCGGCATCCTTGGGCAAGTGACATTTATAGTCAGCAACCTTGACCACTCAGCCATGGGCAAGTGACATAATGTCAGCAACCTTGACCACTCAGCCATAGGCAAGTGATATAAAGTCAGTGACCTTGACCACTCGGCCATGGGCAGGTGACATATTAAGTCAGCGACCTTGACCACTCAGCCATTGGCAAGTGACATAAAGTCAGCGTCTCGGCGACCTTAACCTCAGCACAGATTCAACATTTCAATTTAATTATCTACTCCTCATTCAAAATGTGTTTTGACACCATTAGAACAATTGAAACTTGCATAGACCAATGATCCACAGCTGATGAAAACTTAAAAATTCTACATCTTTTCATCTGTGTCCTTCAGGAAATCTTACTGCTCCACAAGGATATTTTCCTTCCTAGAATAATCACTCTGGGTTTATTCACATTTCATCTTAGAAAAGATTCATTATATTGCACTTATTAACAATTAACACATTAAAATATATCAGTTTCTCTTTGGCTTTTGTAAAACTTGTAGAAATTTTCCTCTGGTCATTTCTCTTGCTGAAATAAAGAAAAAAATGGCATCATCTCAATTATCCTTGTGTAATAAATTGAAACATACATGTATATAATGTATATGGCAGAGGATGGTATAAAGATAACTGGAACCTTTGGTGTCCACATAAGAAGAAATAAATGATTGCAGACCTAAATGAGTATTTTTGGGAGCTGCCATATAGATAGTTCCAAATTTTTACAATATTTACCTCCCTTGCTGCCATATACATGTAAATAGTTCCACATTTTTACAATATTTACCTCCCTTGCTGCCATATAGATTGTTCCTGATTTTTACAATATTTACCGACCTTGCCACAATTGGCAGCCATTTGGGGTGTCAAATATAATTGACAAAATATGAAGAAAACAATATAAACTACTGATTTACGTTGAATTGTCAAATTCTTTTATACATATTTAGCACAATATTATCATGTAAAAGATTTTTATCAGTTTTCATGAAAATGATAGAATTATAAGTGATTTTAGGCATATGATATAATGGAAATGACCCCCAAAAATGGCAGCCAGGGGAGGTAAAAATGACTATATGAAAAGCATCAATAGGTTGTTTTTGTGCTCCCACTTTAGTGGCAGGCATTTAGATTTACCCTTGTCCGTCCTTCCGTTCTCTTTTGTGTCGCACGTAAATCAAAAAGTATTTGACCTAGAGTCATGAAACTTTACAGGAATGTTGATCAGCATGTGTAGTTGTGCACCTGGGTATTTTCGTCTGGATATTTTTAGTATTTTTAGAGTTATTGCCCTTGACTTAGTAAAATTTTGCAATTTTCAACTTGTGTCGCATGTAACTCAAAAAGGATTTGACCTAGAGTCATGAAACTTTACAGGAATGTTGATCAGCATGTGTAGTTGTGCACCTGGGTATTTTCGTCTGGATTTATTTAGTATTTTTAGAGTTATTGCCCTTGACTTAGTAAAATTTTGCAATTTTCAACTTGTGTCGCATGTAACTCAAAAAGGATTTGACATAGAGTCATGAAACTTTACAGGAATGTTGATCAGCATGTGTAGTTGTGCACCTGGGTATTTTTGTCTGGATTTATTTAGTATTTTTAGAGTTATTGCCCTTGACTTAGAAATTTTTTGCAATTTTCAACTTGTGTCGCATGTAACTCAAAAAGGATTTGACATAGAGTCATTAAACCTTGCAGGAAGGTTGCTGACAGCATATTTAGTTTTGCACCTAGGGTTTCGCTTGTGGATTTATCCAGTATTTGTAGAGTTATTTCCCTTGACTTAGTAAAAACTGTTTCATTATGTTGTTATTTGTTCCTTGAAAATCAACCAACTTTACAGGAATAATGATCAACATCACTAAATTACAGGAATAATGATTCACATCACTGTGAAGCTATGCACCTGGGTCTTTGCATGTGGATTTTTTCAGTTTTGTTAGAGTTATTGCCCTTGACTTACAGTAGTATAAATTTGCAATTTTCAACTTGTTCATGCAAAGCTCAAAAAGTATTTCACTTGTAGGCCTGAAAGTTTACAAGAATGTTGGTCAGCATGTGTACTTATGCACCTTGGGGTTTGCTTGTGGATTTATTCAGTATTTGTAAAGATCTTGCCCTTTACTTAGTAATATTTGACCTAGAGTCATAAAATTGACCAAACAGTGGCGCGGTGGGGGCACCCTTGTCCTGTGGACACATTTCTAGCTTCCCCTCAAATATTGATGACACTGTGGAACAGTTGTTCTCACATGACAAAAATGTTTGAAAAAAAAGGTATTTTGAAAACTGTTAAGAGAAAGCGGCAGCATTAAACTTGATTTAATGTTTATTATGATAAAACCAATACATGTATAAGTTATTCATTGAATTAATAAAGTTAATAATCCATATGGCTTGAAGAAGATATATACTTCCCATTTTATTTTATCATTTCTAAATTAATCAAAATTGTTTCTAGATGTATTTCTACCTTAAACATGGTGCAAAGAAATTTACTGAAACTGAGAGGATACCGTTTGTTGTGTACTTCAATGTATGTAATTTCATTCCCTACTTCTACAAATACAAATAGACAGAACATAAAATATACCTTCATCAAGCCCTAGCTGATAAGCCAAATTCTGTAAGCCTCTCACTTTCTCCATTAACTGTGATGTTGTTAAACTTCCAAATTCTGAATAAAACAAAATGCATAATAATAATAACAGCTTTATTTAGAGAAGGTAACATATTAAGAATATACAACAACGATCATATCTTAATATTTCCAATGTGGCCTTCTGAAATAGAAAAAACAACAACAGAACATGCATATAAGAACAAAAATATAAAACACAAGTGTTTACAGGAAACTGCAAATATGCATATAATGTCCATTACATGCTATTCTAATAATTTGGAGATTCTGAATGTTAAAATGCTTCATAAATAATTTGTGTGTCATCATTTAACTTAAATGAATTTTAAGTAATTTATTTCTTGCATTTATTTCTTAATTCATTTAATGCAAATTAACTAATTCCAACTTTTTTTTCTCAAATTTTTTGCTATTTCATTTACATGTAGTAATGAAGTACTTTGTCCCTCGTAAGGGGCTTAACACTATTTACACTAACTTCACATATAATATGCTATACATGTAAGACAGGCTCAAACAACAGCTGTCAGTTGCACAGCGTGCTTGACTATCTTTTTGCCTCATAGTAAAACGAGACCCTGAACAATGTAGGAATTTTCTAAGTTCAAAAAGGTACATGATTCAGTCAAAACTCATGCTACTATAGGCCTTGGAAAGTGAGCTATTATGACCTAAAATAAGACTGTAAAGTTACAAGCAAATAACTTAGATATTGAGAGTTGATTGTTAGTGAGAAAGTATTATCCTGAAGTTGACACCGATGTTTTAGTGAGTAGGATAGCTCCACTATTTTTCATATAGTTGAACTTTAATAAGCCATGACCTTTAACATACCTTGTAATAAGTTGATATCATCATTTTCTAAATCTGCCATCCACTTTGGAGGACTACTAGTTCTTGAAGAAGGCTGAAAATAATAATAAATGTTGATATACAAATATACAACAGCAGCAAGTAATACACAAAACATATACATGTATAATAGTATCAATAGTATTCAACTCTGTCCTGAATTATATGAAATTCTTAAAGATTAGGTACAACTAACATCTCATGCTAAATCTGTTGACTCTTTCAACATTTAAGTAAACAATAAGCTGTATATCTTCTCCTACACCTCTGACGTCTAGACAATTTTATTTTTTATCTCTCACCCTGATAAGTAAAGAACCAAATGGAAAAATTGTTCATGAATGGAATTTACGTGTATGTAGGCAATATTACATAACCATATAAATTATGATTATCAAAAACTTTTAGAATGAACCTTATTCTTATTATCTATCATTAATGAAAGAAATGACAAGTATGTTGCAATGGCATTATTACTTACTAGTTTATCAGCAGCAAATTCTGAGACACCTGGGACTGCAAAAAAAAGTGTAACAAATTAAATTTCGAGACATCTATTATTTACAAGTATATCTTACAGAGAGTTCACTCCGTACCATACACTTGTTAACTAAAAAAAGAATATTCCCAGGCAAACAACGACTTAAAATTATCTTTTATATAAATGAAACTTTGACCATCATACAGTCATGGTTCAGAACTGTTCACTATTAAAGGAGATCGTGTCTATGCGGCCAGATAGCTCAGTCAGTAGAGCCGCAATACGGTATGCCGAGGGTCCCTGGTTCGAGTCCTGGTCAGACTGCACAGTTTTCTTACCCTGGGACAATAGTGAAACAGAAAATATTAAAGTTCAATTTGATTGACTGTGCTAATGAATGGCAGTGAATACTCAGCGAACATTTATACAATAAAATAATGATTAATTGAAAAATTTGATGCATTTGTTCATGTGGTTGTGGTCATGCAACCTTTAATGTAACACCTTTGTCAATTTGTGACACTTACTCTGTTCAGGCCACAGATCTGGTGATGCTCTGTCAAGCTTTTCAAAACTCAGAAGTTGATCAGTATCAGCAAGTGTATTATCATACCATTTACCATCATCTAAAAAGAACCAAAACTTAGTATTGACTATTAATTAGTTACCTTATAATTATATAACTTATGAAGCATTGAAATAAATATGTCCTTGCTGATTTTATGAAACTTTTAAAATAAGAATTTTTTTTAAAAAGTTGTGTTATATTGTGTGTATCGTTAATTTGTGGATTTGAAAAACAAACCTTTAAAATCGGTCGGTCTATTTACCCCAAGACACCCCAAGACACCCCAAGACTACCCAAGACACCCCAAGACTACCCCAAGACACCCCAAGACTACGTACCCAAGACACCAAAAGACTACCCCAGGACACCCTAAGAGGCTAAGACTACCCCAAGACACTTTGTTTAACTGATATGTAATTACGATCTTATTTTACATTGTTCACGGGAGGTAACTATATATGGAAAAGAGTCAACTCGGCCCTATACCAACTCGGCACGGGTCAACTCGGCACGGGTCAACTCGGCCCACTTTACAAAAATATATAGGCCTATAACGTATTTACTTTGCTTTGCATGTTGTTAAGGTAAATGAATAATAAGAAATATCTTATTATTATTAAATGATTATACATTGTACCTCTGCTGAAATAAAGTATATTTAGAAAAAAAAGTTATTTATTTGTCTTGCAGATTCGATAAAATTAATATAGACACAGGCATGATTATCGAACCTGGGAAGAAAAAATATGAACACATTGATAAAAATACTTCATATTTTTTCTTCCCAGGTCCGATACTTGTGCCCGTGAATAAAGATATAATAAAAATATGTTTCCTTAGATGCATTTCGTTTGTAAAGTAATTTTCAAAAAAATATGAAACAAAAACGTGTTCACCTAATAGCATAAGCTTCTAATCAAATTTGAATGAATGAGTCAATCATAATTATCACCTAATTAATCGGTATCTTTAACATACACATTGATTGATAATAATAGCTCGTGACAATAGGAGTCCTTTGATAACCTTTACCCATTTTTAAAAGTGGGCCGGGTTGACCCGTGCCGAGTTGGAATAGGGCCGAGCTGACTCGGGGGCCGAGTATGTTTTAGGGCCGAGCTGACCCGAATTCACTATATATATGCGATTCACAGGTACAAAGGAAATACGGTGAAATCAACATTTGTCCTTGAAGAGAATGGACACTTGAAAAATGTAGAATATAAAAACGGGAAATACTGTGTAAAAAAAGTTCCAAAGGAAATGTATTCTACGAGCCACTTTAAATCAACCGCCGGACAACGAAGTTTACATTTTAAGTAGGTATTATACACAGTTAAAAAGAGAGCAAACTTTCAAAAAACGTGTTGCATACTTCACGAAGAAATCTGATCTAAATTTTGCTAGTGTCGCGTTGTACGAATACCAGGGAAATCAACCCATTGAATCTAAACCACATGATAATGCACGGACGGGAAAACGTTCACACGAACTAATCCAAAGACATTATGGACAAGCTGAAACAGTTGAATGAACATGACAGACCTAAACAGATTTTCCATCGTTTAAAAAAGACGATTCTAAGGATTGTCCTCGTGATTTTAAAGTTGTTAAGAATATAAAATATAAAAGTAAACAGAAAGTTCAGCGCACAAACAAATGCAATCAACGTGACAATATAGCTGATGAAATACTAGAAGTTCTAAGTATGATAAATGATCACCACTATGTCCAAACATTTATACACCACAAAGACAAGGTCCCTTCAATAATATGCTATACAAATTGTCGCTTCTATGTAATTCAAGCTATATTTTAAGTTAACACATACAAACACATACAAACAAACATATTATTAAAATATGATTGAAGAAACACAAGAATTACATCTCCACGGAGCTAATTCCAATAATGATATCGGTTGTACCTAGCTACTCTTCTTCTTCTTCCGGGTAATGTGCTGGGCCCCTCTGGAGCATCGTCGCACAATTGTGACTATTTACATGAGTGAAGGGAACATCAAGTGCAGCTAAAAACAGGTTAAAAACACCATGCTCCAGAGTTACATGTACTCGTGCAGCGCACCCATCCTCGTCTTGAAGACCTCTAGGGACGGGGCTGTCATCACGACTTCTGGTAGGCTGTTCCAAAGTCGGATCCCAGAAGGAAAGAACAAAGTGTATGAGTTGACACTGGTGAAGGGTTGTAGGTACCTGTTGGCATGTCCTCGGGTGTGTACTCCAGCAGGGATCAGTATGTGATGGGCTCGGCTATCCACCAGGCTGTTAATGACTCTGTACATCATCACTGCTTTGGTTTGCTGACGGCGGGCTTCTAGAGTGTCCCAGCTTAGAGCTTCCATCATTGCAGTAACGCTGCTGGTGTAACGATAATCACCTGTGCAGAACCTGGCTGCTCTTCGTTGGCAGTTCTCGAGCTTACTGATGTTGGCCTTGGTGTGTGGGTCCCATACTGACAAAGCATACTGGAGCTGAGGTCTAACCAGTGTTTTGTAACATGTCGCCTTCATGTTTTGTGGACAGTGTGATAAGTTTCTGCGTAGAAAGGCAGTGGTGGTGTTCGTCTTCTTTGCAGTAGCGTCAATATGGCTGTTCCAGGAAAGCGTATTGTCAAGTGTGACACCCAGATACTTTGCCTTGTTCGACTGCTTGAGTGTTTGGCCATGGATGGCATAGGACCCAGTTATCACTTTCCGCTTGTTGGTAATGCGAATCATCTCACACTTGTCGGAATTAAACATCATCAACCAGTCTTGCTCCCACTCTTGTAGGCGGTCAAGATCCTGTTGTAGTGCAATGCTGTCTTCCTCAGAGCTGATGGTCCTATATAGTAGGCAGTCATCTGCAAAGAGGCGTGCTGTGGAGGAGACCCTGCCCGGCAAGTCGTTAATGTAGACTAGAAACAAGAGAGGCCCTAGGACTGTGCCTTGCGGGACGCCTGATGTGACTGGTGCTGGAGAGGATGTCTTCCCGTCGAGTACTACTTGTTGTTGACGGTGTGAGAGGAAGCTGTTGATCCAACCCAGAGTCTTGCCTCTGATCCCATAGTGGTGAAGCTTGGCCGAGAGACGTCGATGGGGGACCTTGTCAAACGCCTTGGAGAAGTCTAGTAAGATGGCGTCGATCTGCTGTTTGTTGTTCAGGCCCGTTGCAAGTTCCTGGACTGTGGTGATCAGTTGCGTCTCGCATGATCTCTTCTTCCGAAAGCCATGTTGCATATCGGCGAGGATGTTGTTATGATCGAGGAAACTGATCACGTGGCTATGGACAATGTGCTCCATAATCTTGCAACAGATGGATGTCAGCGAGACTGGGCGATAGTTTGAAGGCTTACTCTTGTCTCCCTACTTGAATAGTGGTGTGACTAGTGCGCCCTTCCAGTCATCTGGTACTTGGCTCTGATCATGTGAAGCTTGGAATATGAGTGTCAGCATTGGTGATTAGTCTCAATTTTTCGACGGCAAGACAGACCGATTTTATAATCTGATATTTCATAGATGTCTGTCATAGATGCGAAGGGCGACCATCGTATATATAAAAAAAGCCCTAAAGCGCACAATTTGTTGGGCTACATTGGTGATATGGCTGAAGCCAGTTACCTCAGAAATCTGGATGAGATCTGGTCCGGTCCAGTGGCCTTGTGTGGGTTGAGATTCTCCAGGAGCTTCTTGACACCCTTCTCATGGATCTGCAGTGGAGGGGCTGTTTCTTCAAGGTTAGGGCCCATGTTCGGTAGACTCTCAACATCTTCTTCGGTAAAGACGGAGGAGAATTGGGCGTTGAGTATCTCTGCTTTAGCACATGGGTCGGAATGGCCATCTTTCTTGAGTGGTGCAACGCCTGAGCTGTCACTCTTCATGCTCTTGACGTACTCCCCTGAGATTATCTCCTACAGGGTCGTATATTTATAAAACTTTTCCACTTTATAAGTTAGTTTCCATTAAGAAGATTCTTGGGGTAGTCTTGGGGTGTCATGGGATAGTCTTGGGGTGTCTTGGGGTAGTCTTGTGGTGTCTTTGGGTAGTCTTGGGGTGTCTTGGGGTAAATAGACCGACCCCTTTAAAAATTTAATAGTCAATTATTTGGGTACGAGTTGACTGAGGTACGAGTTGGCATGAAATGAAAATTTTTGTTTAACATAACCAACAGTAGATAGAATTACAAAATATTTCAGTTACTTTCGTGATAAAAATAGTTTTTATTTTAACACAGAGAAAATGAACGACTTACCAGATATAATTGTTTCCTTGTTCGAATTGGCCGCCATTGTTGTTGACAAAACTTAGGTTCCACACCACTAAATTTATAAACCGAATGATAGATTACGTGCTAACAAAAAATCCCGGAGGAAGAGCATATAGTCGCCGCTTTGTCTGTCCGCCTGTCCGCATTTTCATGTACGGGACATAACAAGAAACTTTGTAGGTAGATAGATCTCAGTCAGTAGAAGTGCATTGAATCATAACCCTAACTCTGCCTTGCCTAATTTTGGAGTTACTGCCCTTTTTTATTTTCTTTGAACATTGTCCGGGATATAACTCTGAAACCACAAGAGGTATCAAGAAAAAAACTGCGTAGATCGTTAGATATCATTAAGTAGAAATGCAATGTGTAAAAAACAGTAACTCTCCCTTATCAAATTTTGGAGTTGCCCTTTTTTTTCATTTTTACACTTTGAACTTCATCTGGGACATAACTCTGAAACTACAAGAGATATCAACAAGAAACTACTTCCCTGTGTGTGAAACCTATTCGGGGAGCATCATCTTGTATGACAGGCTCTTGTTTTATAAGTAATACTTAAAAGGCAAAACAATGGAGTAAACTGTAATAGACTTCTTCAAATGTACTCTTATATTACCCTTAGGTAAACGTAGGCATATTCTAGACATCATACTTGCTCAATCAGATATATTTACGTGTTGAGCACCCTAGCTGCGGATTACTCATGAGTGAAATCAAAGACACAAAAAATGTTGATGAAATATACCAGCCATATTTTGTAGTGAGTTGCAATAAGAATCATGTGAATATGAGAAAAATATACTATTGTAGTATTAGATTAAATATGTATATCTAAGTAAACTTGTACTTCTTTATATTGAAAGCTATCATTTATAAAGTCTTAGATTTTACATAACTATTTCCATTATTTGATCATCGTTTATCATTAAAATTGTACCTATGCATGAGACGTGACCACCAAATTTCGTTGTACTGTGCGCCGTAAATTATGAAAATGCGTCGCACAGTAAATCATGTACAATGTCAGCGCCCATGTAAAAAAGAAAAATAACATTTTTAATATTTTTTACCAATACAAAGAAATTTAACAGCTTATGTGCAAGAAACTCAATAGACAAACATAATTAACAGTGAACTTACCGGTAAGAGATAATAGATTATGCCGTTTGGTAACGGGAAGTATAAATCTCAATAAAATTCATGGCCTATTTGTTAACAGGTTAATAAAACTCAATTGTGTTTATTAATCTGTTAATTTTACTCTTGAAATCTATTTATGCCTTCTCAATATCTGTTAGGCTATTCAAGTATGGTTTAAACTTTGATAAATGTTGGACATTTTTTTTTGTCACAGCTTCTTGACATAATAAAAAATTTCCATTTAAAGGAACATATCTCTTATTTTATATGGCATTAATGTCATGATAATGTTTGTTTTTGATAGAACATTAGACCATTTGGACAGCAGAAGTGATGAGTTTAGATGAGAATGAAGAAGATTACTGGGGTTCGTCTAAAGTCAAGAAAAAAGTCAACATATTCGATGACAGTGTAAGTTAGTCTATAATCTATCCAAAATGTCAGTGCAAAGTGAAATTTACTCCATTAAATAGAGGATATTTGTTTAGTTCAGTGTAAGATCGGAATATATTTCACTGAGTGAGCACCAAAGGTATATTTCACGAGTGGCGCAGCCACGAGTGAAATATGAACTTTTGGTGTTCACAAGGTGAAATATATTTCGATCTTACACTAAACTAAACAAATTTTCTTTTTATTATATGCAAAGAAACGTTTTAAAAAGACATTAAACCTAATACTGAATGAAAAGCGCGCCAAATAATAATACAACGTGACGTCATTTACGACGTCACATCATTAAGTTGGTACCCAGTTCTGTGCACGCTGGTATTTCACTGAAACCACGTAAGGGGCTTAAATTCAAAACAGTGAAATTATCAAAGTGGTAATTTCACTGTTTCAAACAGTGAAATTACCAGTTTTATATCACTGATATATTTCTATAAACCACCGAAAAGCATGTAATAAACAGATATATTGATTGAAATTTAATTTCTTTGAAGTTATAACCTTAGAACTGAAGATTATATGACTTGAAATGTTACCCTGCTGAAACTTAAGTGATATGCCTTTTTAACCCATTGGCTGACTCTGTGCTTGTCTTCAAACCACTTGCCCACTGCACAGTTGTGGCATCATATCCCTGTAGGGATGGTTATTCTTTCGTGTGAAGAAACTATCTAGCTGCACATAAAATGTTATCTTTGATGAAATTTCTATCAACGCAAACTTTCTTTTAATTCCTTAGGTAACAGTTGAGGCTGCATCAGATTTGGCAAAGTTCCAAAAAAGTCTAGCAGATGATGATGATGATGATGGTATTGGATTTGGGGATGATCCTTCATCATCAATTCAGAGCTTATCAATATCTCAGGGCCAAAGTTTACCATCACAAACAAGTAAGTGTTTTGTTTGAAGTCTAAAAGTCTTTAAGAGATAACTGCAAAACCAAATTTTTCAATAGAGAAGAAAATTAACAGGAGAATGTTGAAACAAAGTAGCCAAGATGTATTGTTAAATTCAGGACATTTTACTTATTGATAAATTAATTTGATGTGGAAATACTTTAATTAAGATAATTTAAAAGCCGGATTTTCAATAAAAAAAACTTTTGGTTGATACTATATTAATGATAGAGTGGCTATTAAATTATATTTAATTTAAATGTTGGCAGGCAGGCAGCTGGGTATAATTAATTTGTCCCATTCACAACTGTTACAACATTTTTCTGTAGATTTGAACCAAACTTTCATAGATGATTTTCACTATGTGTCCTTTTGCAAATTTTAAATACTAATTTTGATAATTGATTTTAGAACTAATATATGAACTAATCTTAAATATCAATGAAAAGTATCATTGCAATGAAGCTCATAATTTGTTCTCACATAGTCACTAGTTAACAGGTGCTCATTGACAGTGAGACATACATGTAATGTATATGTATTCTATTAAATCTGAAATTATAAATTTATTTTGACAATTTTTTCTTTCTTCAACTTCTGCCCACTTAACTCAATGGATTTCTGATTCTAGGGTTGCTATTTTAATCCCTTGAAGTGACGAAATTTCTCTGAGATAATAGTCATTTGTCTCACTGCTGATTCAGACATCATATGGTAGTCAATCCCTTTTGGAGAAACTGGTAGTTGGTATTTAATATGGTGGATTCAGTGCCAAGATATGACCAAAAAAATATGATGAAATGATTAAGATCCACTTAAATACAAATAAACAAATAAACTTTCTTCAATTAATTTATGTTTACTTTATGTTTTTTTTTTATCAAGGGACTTCAAGAGATACAGGCTTCAAGACACCTAGTGGTAAGACTGATATGTTACTTATTTCTTTATAAATGATTAAGCAACACATCGAAAAGCTATAATCAATATCAATCTTTTAATTCATTTCATTGCAATTGATCAAGTTTTTTTCTAAATTCCTTAAATGTCCACTAGCTTATTGTGCATTGTGTATGCACAATGCTTTAATGGGTAATTTGGGTATCGGTGTTTTTTTTGTTTAATAACAAAACTATCATTATTGAATTGCAAAAGATATAACAAATAATACCTATGTATATTACCTACCAGGAAATAGCTTGTACAGGTACATTTCCTTCTAGGCTGTTCGTGGCCAATTGGTTAAGGTCGTTGCTTTCAAAACACTTGCCTCTCACCACTGTGGGTTCAAATCGGATTATTTCATGTGAGGAAGTTATCTAGCTAGCTTACAGAACGTCGGTGGTTCTACTCAGGTGCCCAATAATGCCTGAAATAAGGTACAGAGGAGCACCTGACGTCTTCCTCCACCAGTAAAGCTGTAAAGTCGCCATATGACCTTTACAGTGTTGATGCGACATAAAACCCAACAAAAAGAAAGAGAAAAAAAAATAAGAAGAAAAAGGCATTTTTCCCTCATATCTTGTTAATAATATTATCTTAATCACTGACCTACCGTACTGAATTTGCATGACATATTTCCTGTGCTTTGATTTTGAAAGAGTCTATTCAAAGTTTAAAAGATTTCAATATCAAAACATAATAATACAGCTGCAAAAATATTGTGCCTGTTTACTAATTAAGTTTGGTTGGAGCTGGTTAAAGGGTCAGGCAAAAGTCGAACTACAGTAAACCAATGCAGAATGTTTTGTCTCTTTCTGAAAATACGAACTTTTTTTCTTGTTATAGTTTTACTTTTCTCTGAAGGTATAAAAGATGTGTTTTGTTGTTGTTAATTTTTTTTGTCTGTGTGAAAACAGCATGTGTGTATGTAATTGTATTTTCTTTTTTAATTGCATGAACTTTTTCTTCAGGCTCCTTGTGTATTGAAATTTTCAAATTTTGACAATTTTCCATGCAGAGCTGTTACAATTATATTTTGAAGAATAACCCAGATTTATTGCCACTACCATGCGTTCGATATCAATTCTAATATATATTTTGTTTATATTTTATATGTATATCTTTAACTTTGTGTGCTCTATTTGTCTGCCTGCATAATGCTTGCATGCTTATATAACCATGTTAATCTGTATTCCTTCCTTGTAAACCTTTTGAATGCAGCAGGGCCCAGTCAACCCAGACCCAGGTTTGAGCCTCAGATAGCGCCTCCCCAGAGACCCTTACCATCCCATATGACACATAGCAGATCTAGAAGTGATGTGATGGGTAAAGCTGAAATTTTTATACTATAGATGTGCTTAAATTGATTATTATCTATATGAGCAACACCATGACAAAACCAAACTAGTGCGTTTGCGACCAGCATGGATCCAGACCAGCCTGCGCATCCACACAGTATGGTCTGGATCCATGCTGGTCTCAAACACAATATGTTGGTTTTGTCATTGCGCGGCTCAATTATGTAAATAACTGATTAGGAGGTATTTCATTGCAGTATATATTCTGTACATACAACATGATTTAGTATGGAGGGAATATATACAGTGGGAAACCAACGATGGTGGGTTTTTATGAATCAGTGATCAGGGTGGTAATCTAATATACCTTGGCTTCAGAATATAGACTAGAATATGGTCAAGTTGAAATTTGTATGCTCCTTGTATTGACCAGGTGCCTATAAACCCTTGAAAAAATATTTCAAACAAGTGTCTTTTTTCTAACTATACAGTTGTCAAGATTCAAAACTTAGGGCTGATGATCACTAAATTCTGAATATTTGGTTCCATTTATGATGTTCATTTTTATCCATTTTCTCCTTGATTTTTGTTGTTGTTTTTTATCCATCATTCATTTGCCTAATCTTAGCTTTTGTGAAAATCTCTTGGCTTTTGATTAAACCATGGAATGGGCATTTTTAAACAAGAGGCATCCTTATTGTAAGAACAGAACATGTTATTTTACTGAAATCATGTTACGGTAATAGATATGAAAGTGAATTACAGACAAGTTATTATATCATTAAATAGATATTGTCGATATTTGTTATCCTTATTGATAGATATTTACAATACGCTGTGCATTGAATCAGTGGCAGCTCTACTTTAAATCCTGAAGTCAAGATGATACCATTTTCTTTTGTTAATCAAGAGTGTTCTGGTTTTTAGCTCACCTGTCACAAAGTGACAGGGTGAGCTTTTGTGATCGCTTTTCGTCCGGCGTCCGGCCGGCGTCCGTCCGTCCGTCGTCCGTCCGTAAACTTTTGCTTTAAATGACTTCTCCTCATAAACCACTGAGCCAATTTCATCCAAACTTCACAGGAATGTTCCTTTGGTGGTCACCTTTAAAAATTGTTCAAAGAATTTAATTCCATGGCAACCAAAAGAAAAATCTTTAAATATCTTCTTTTAAACAACCCTAAGAGCTAGAGCTTAGATATTTGGCATGAAACATCTTCTAGTGAGTGTCTACCAAGTTTGTTCAAATAAAAGCCCTGGGGTCAAAATTGGCCCCGCCCTAGGGGGTCATTGATTTTCCCTATATGCATATAGTAAAAACTTTAAAAATTTTCTTTTAAAGAACCCAAAGAGCTAGAGCTAAGATATTTGGCATGAAACATCTTCTAGTGAGTGTCTACAAAGTTTGTTCAAATAAAAGCCCTGGGGTCAAAATTGGCCCCGCCCCGGGGGGTCATTGATTTTCCCTATATGCATATAGTAAAAACTTAAAAAATCTTCATTTAAAGAACCGTAAGAGCTAGAGCTTAGATATTAAGCATGAAACATCTTCTAGTGAATGTCTACCAAATTTGTTCAAATAAAAGCCCTGGGGTCAAAATTGGCCCCGCCCCAGGGGGTCATTGATTTTCCCTATATGCATATAGTAAAAACTTAAAAAATCTTCTTTTAAAGAACCCAAAGAGCTAGAGCTAAGATATTAAACATGAAACATCTTCTAGTGAGTGTCTACTAAGTTTTTTCAAATTAAAGCCCTGGGGTCAAAATTGGCCCCGCCCCGGGGGGTCATTGATTTTCCCTATATGCATATAGTAAAAACTTAAAAAAATCTTCTTTTAAAGAACCCAAAGAGCTAGAGCTAAGATATTTAGCATGAAACATCTTCTAATGAGTGTCTACCAAGGTTGTTCAAATAAAAGCCCTGGGGTCAAAATTGGCCCCGCCCCAGGGGGTCATTGATTTTCCCTATATGCATATAGTAAAAACTTAAAAAATCTTCTTTTAAAGAACTCAATAAGCTAGAGCTAAGATATTTAGCATGAAACATGTTCTAATGGGTGTCTACCAAGTATGTTCAAATAAAAGCCCTGGGGTCAAAACTGGCCCCGCCCGGGGGGGTCATTGATTTTCCTTATATGTGTATAGCAAAAACTTAAAAATCTTCTTTGAAAAAAACCCAAATAGCTAGAGTTTAGATATTAAGCATGAAACATCTTTAAGTAAATATCTACAAAGTTTGTTCAAATAAAAGCCCGGGGGTCAAAACTGGCCCTGCCCCAGGGGTGTCATTGTTTTTAACTATATGTGTATAGTAAAAACTTTAAAAATCTTCTTTTAAAAAACCCAATGAGCTAGAACTTAGATGTTTAGCATGAAACATCTTCTTATGGGTGTCTACCAAGTCTGTTCAAATAAACAAATAAAAGCCCTTGGGTAAAAATTGGCCCGGGGGTGGGGGGGGGCTGTATACAGGTGAGCGACCTCAGGGCCATCATGGCCCTCTTGTTTAAGATATAGAGAATTCCATTTTTACGGAGTCACAAAATTGGTACGGGTGTGCGATAAATAAATATACTGTATAAGTGGTTAAGTTAGCGAATTTATGTGAATTAAATAACATCTCTAAAATTTCCTCTAGCGTAAACATCAACCAACCTGTCTATAAATTCTACCCTTGCATGTTTCACTTAAACTTGTCTTCCAAAATGTCTGGAATTTAAAATTCCCTACTTTTCAACACCCCGATATATCCACTTATACCTTGTGTGACTGTTTTTGATGTTTTTCCTCACTTGTAGTTTGTATTTTACCAGAACTGAATCATGCTTATTTATTTATTTATTAATCTTTATCTGTCAGAAAATTTTCTTTTATAATCCTAAAGTGCTTTTGCCCGATAAATTATCAGAGAAGAAAATGATAGAATTTATTTGAGGAAAAAGTATATAATAAATTATGTTTATTTTTTAACAATATAAAACTATATACCACAAATATAAAAAGATATAATTAAAAAAAAACATAAAGAAAAGCACTCCATAAGTAAGTTTCAGAAAAATTAATGTGAAGAAACAAGCATACAATCCTGTTATTAAAAGAAAGTCGCAAAAGCTGAAAGAAAATTCACAAAATGGTGAAGGTGACTTTATTACGCTAAACAAGAGTTACTAATATTTCAATGCTTCTCTGGCTTTTTTTTGAGCAGCTTCATTGTTAAAAATTATTGTTTTGATTTAAATGTAGTAATTTGAGTTGGCTTAATTAAGGGTACACATTTGTATATTAAACTGGGTTTTTATAACTTTTTTATTTTCTTCTAAGTTAACTTAGGCAAGTCAGTTCAAAACTTTATTGAATTTTTGATTTAAGGTTTTGAAAACATGGCTAAATTGTTAAGATTGTAAAAAGTGGCTAAATTGATAAGATTGAAAACATGGCTAAATTGTTAAGATTGTAAAAAGTGGCTAAATTGATAAGATTGAAAACATGGCTAAATTGTTAAGATTAAAAATGTGGCTAAATTGATAAGATTGAAAACTTGGCTAAATTTATAAACATCATGTGCTGCAAATGTTCGAAGTTTATTGGTGTAAATTATATTTTATGAAATAAAGTGTATTGTTCTTTAAACTTCTCACTGCATGTAAAGTAAGTCCATCCTGGAAGTCTGTATACATTTTATGTTGCTCACATCTGACAAAGAAAACAGTCTTTATTTCTAATTTGGCAAATGATAACGAAAAGTTTGCCACATAAACTGTAAAATAAACTATTGCTCTGAAATAGTGCATAATATATTCATTATAGTATATTTTTTTTTCTTTCAACAGTGAGCAGCATGGGAAAGATGAGTTTAGCACAATCACCCAGCACCCCTGGTTATAAAATGGACAGTGAACCAGATCTGTCTACAGGTAAGGCATGTTTAAGATGTACAAATTATTTTAGGCCATAAGGCCTAGTATATAAGGTTGCTGACTATAAATTATATTAGTCTCGTCATTGTGGGTTTATTGCCAAGTTTTAAGGTTTAATGACTTTATATTATTTTACCATCTCCACAGTGGGTTTGATCCCACCAAGGGACATTGAACTTATGTGCAACAAACTAACCAGCTGCTTTATATAAAATGATAGGTTCTAACAAGGTATTTATGGGTGATTTAAGAATAAATATCTGAGATTTTCTACCTGTAAATGCTGGAATCTTGCCATATAATCTAAGCACAATTAGTGTGATTTTAAATGAAATGAAGGACAACAAAAATCAAAACAAATTATGTATTCACTATGTTATGTTGCTAACATGTTGACCATATTTTGATTTGTTTCATGTTTTAAATAATTCAGACCTAAAAAGTCAAAAATGTATCTATCAGATACGTTGATGAATCAATATCATTCTGCTTTTGAATTTTTGCACACAAAATGTTTCATTTCATATATAATTTTGCCGGTCATGCAACTTAAACAATAATTATATGACTTAAAGTCAAATCAAATATAAAAAATTCTGTACAAATGTATATTTTTCAGTTCTAGGGAGCAATGAGCAGAGACAGACAAATAGACCTGCTCTGAGCAGACAGGAGCAAGAAATAGAGTATCTGAAACAAAAATTACAGGTATATTGCCTTCCATGTCTCACAATGATGCCACACTGTTAGAAATTTTTGTTTGCATTTATTATTTGAAATTGAAATTGGATTGTAAATCAAGTTTTGCTTCTGCAATCTGATAGTTTTACCTCAATCACTTACCATGCGTTGTTTAGAATAGATACATTCATTTTTCCAAGAGTAGTTTTAAAAAAATTGTATTGATAAATAAATATTCTCCCCATGTGGCTGAGGACTTGCCTTTGACGGCTGAGGCATCAGAATTGCTGCCATTGTGTTTCCCTGCATGATTATAAGAGGTGGGTAAATGAGTTCGATTTACTGAGTCTATGCATCTCTAAGCTCCAGCAGGTGAGGTGGTTTTGACCCCTGGCCTTGGGGTTGTAAAACTTTTTTCTGAGTCTCAGGATTATAATTGGTCATGAACATGTACATTCTGTAGCAGTTTCTGACCAATTAAACACCGGAAATCTGAGTTTGAGCTTAGATAATTTCTTTATAACCTCTGGTCCAGGTGTTGCTTTATGTTTGTAACATCTGACATTAGCAAGAATTCTGTTGGGGTCATATGACCTAAATTATGTTGGTGTGCCATAAAATCCAACGCACAAACAAACAAAATAAATTTTCAGTTTAATTAGTATAATTTGTAATTATGTGTAATTTTGATAGCCATTAAAGTTTTCTTTTGTATTTGTTTTGTCTTATTTTCCCCCAGCAAGCTGAAAATGCTATTGGTACAGCCAAGTTGAAAGTTGAAGAAACAATCAAAAGAATGATTATGGGCCAGGTAAGTTATCTTTGATTCTGGCTGCATTCAGTATTTTGTAGAAAATAATATTTGATTGATAATTTTCTGTATCGTCACCTTAATGCAGTAATGGGTTAAGTCCTTCTAAATTAAATAGTAGTTAAGATGATACACTGTCCCCCACATTTATGTTAACACTAGATTCAGGGGAGTCGTGGCCTAGTGGTCAAGGTGTCTGCCTCTCAACTCAAAGATTATGGGTTTGAGCCCTACTGGGTCAAGATCATTTTTTCATATGACACCATGTGACATCTTTTGAAAGATTTTGATCCAAGTTGCCAGACATTTACCTGAAGTTTTTCTACTCCTGAAAGCTCTCTTTTTTCATATAAAACCAATTGAAATAATTTTCAGATATTCTGATATTTTTAACTTGCACCCATGGATTACTGCCTACAACAATTTAAAGCATATTGACTAGTTACCTTTAATACAAGAAATAATTTGTTATTTTCATCTCTTTTAGCCATACGCGTTGGAACAATATAAATCAAAAGAAGAGAAGCTGGCATTACTGGACAAGGCTATAGACACACATGATGGAAATGCTATAATTGCTGTGAGTCAGTTTGTATGCCTATCTGTGTTTTTATGTCCTGTAATTTGTATGAATATGAATTATGCTTTTGTGGTGGTGATGTTGGTAGTTTTCACTCAGGATTATGGCAGTAAGCCACATTGAATTAACCAGAGGTCAGTTTAGCCACCGCATCATTCAGGGACAGGCTGTCATACAGTTTACTAGTACTAGTTGCCTTCTTTTTATCAAGGAACTAATAACTTCTGTATATGCCAGAGCAAAGGTACAGTGCAAATGTACTAGTTGCCTTCTTTTTATCAAGGAACTGATAACTTCTGTATATGCCAGAGCAAAGGTACAGTGCAAATGTACTAGTTGCCTTCTTTTTATCAAGGAACTGATAACTTCTGTATATGCCAGAGCAAAGGTACAGTGCAAATGTACTAGTTGCCTTCTTTTTATCAAGGAACTGATAACTTCTGTATATGCCAGAGCAAAGGTACAGTGCAAATGTACTAGTTGCCTTCTTTTTATCAAGGAACTGATAACTTCTGTATATGCCAGAGCAAAGGTACAGTGCAAATGTACTAGTTGCCTTCTTTTTATCAAGGAACTGATAACTTCTGTATATGCCAGAGCAAAGGTACAGTGCAAATGTACTAGTTGCCTTCTCTTTATCAAGGAACTGATAACTTCTGTATATGCCAGAGCAAAGGTACAGTGCAAATTTACTAGTTGCCTTCTTTTTATCAAGGAACTGATAACTTCTGTATATGCCAGAGCAAAGGTACAGTGCAAATGACCATAGAAAGGATAAAATGATCAATCACAATGAATGTGACCTGAACTGTCCAGGAATTGAATCCGGGTCGCTCACAGTCCAACGTTTTACCTATTGAGTTAACCAGGGGGCTTTTCTTATGCTTTTGTGTAACTTTAAAAGTATTTTTTTATGACTACTTCAGTTTTTGTATGACTGAAACAGAAAAACAACAAGAATTTCATAAATGTAATTACTAATTTTCTAGAGCACAAAATCCAGCTTTTGTTATAATTTATTAATTGACTCAACTTTTGTACATATTGATATTTTTTTGTTCTATAAGTCAACCTCAAAAATATTATGACAGAATTGAAACATTTATTTCAGAGTGTTGTGTTTATGAAGAGAACTTTGAAGGACGGTATTTTTAACTTGGAATTGTTGCGGAGACCAGAGGCTGTTGACCAATATTTAGCCTACCTCAAAGCTCACTACAACCTTAATGAATATTCTCATATGTTAGAGTAAGACTTTTTTTCGTTTTGTCATTTTTAGCTCACCTGTATCAAAGTCAGTGTATAATGATTGCTGTGGTATTATCATTGTAATCATGCAAAAACTTAAATGTAGCCAGTTATTTAAACATTTCAAGTGTTATCTGATATGAAACTTACTTATTCTTATACTCGCTTATCATGACAAGGTGCAGTTGTTAGACAAAGTTGAAAGAAAATAATTATGAAAGCAATATTTTTACAGTTAATTCCCCTTTCAAGATTACAATTTTTAAAAGATGAGTGTTAACATCGTATGCTGTGATCTTGTTCTATAATTTCAAAACTTGTCATCCACTTATGACATATTACGTAATAATATCTGGGAGTTTTGTAAATTGGTTGTCTGAAAGATTTTTTAGAGGTGATAATTTTTTTCCTTAAAAATGAATGTAATAAAGCTAATACTCTCTTATAACTTACATTTGTCAACTTTTCAAACTTTACAAACCTTGATCGTCTACTGCAACTGTATTTCCTATCATTGATTTCTGAATGTAAATGAACATGGTACATTTTGTTTTGAAGGAAAGCTCATGCTGCAGGGAATAATAAAAATGTTCATGGGTAACTTGGATAATTATGTTACAAATCTCACCTGTATAAAAATTTACTATCACTCCATTCTTCATGCAAATGTTTAACCATATACATATTCTTACTCCTGGCATTTTTACCTCATATGTGAAATTTTGTTCCTTTTAATATTAGATTATATTATGTACATTCATTGATGTCAAGCCTCAATGCTACAATGTTCCTTCAAATTTTTAACCTCTCACAATCTTGTCTGATTATATACATGTATATATTTACTGATGTTACCAAAGTCTATATTGAAAAGATAATTTTTATTGTTCTCTATTTAAAAATTGTTATTAATCATATCTTAAAATAGGCAGGTTTTATAGATGAGTAAAATAAATATTCCAACGATAAAACTATATACAATAGGTAAATAAGAGTCTCTAATTAGAGTTTGTTTGATGGGACTGGATATAATTTTTGAGATTTTTATACCAATTGATATGTATCAATACCAATAACTTGTGTACAAAATTTCAGATATTTTGCTCACTCTATTTTTCCAGTGTAGTCATTTCTTTCAAAAGCTTTTAATTCAATGCTAAGAATTAGAATGAATTGTCGCGTGATCACAGTTTATTAACTTTACATAATAAATTATGAATTGTAAGTTACAGACTTAGTTTTGTCGAGAATTTCTTACACCATCATGTTCATTTAAAAGTAGATAAGGAGGGTTGTTTAATCATAGTGAAGATTTGTAAATCTACAAATTTGTCATAATTTGAAAAGTGTATACATTTATCTCTATCTAAGTACATTGAAAGTGATATTTGTTGGGTACAGTATTTACACTTAAATCTTTTTCTACTTCAGAATGCTGAACAGAGCAGAAGAATTAGCTGTAAGTCTTTTCTAATATTTGTTCAATTATAACTAACGTTTTACATATGTAATTTTAATTCAGCATTTAATAAACATTCAAAGCGTTGAGCTTCTGTCAGGTTTAAATGTTGTTTAACCAAGAATCCACTATGTGGTTTGTTGCAAGTTTACTGAAGGCACTTCAACCAGAATTCTGTCATAGAATTATTTTGTAATGATTGGCACATTACTTCCCAGAAATGAATTAATATTTTCCTTCTTTAGAATGGCCAAACATTAGTAAAGTGGAACTTTGACTTTTGGATTTTCAAACCTCAAGTAAAGCCTCTGCCCTTTGGAAGGAGTCAGATTGTAAAATCCCAAATGTAGACACATACCTGTCCATTTTGGCTGTAAAAGGAATTCATTTCATTGACAGTTTGTGAACAGACTAAAGGTTAAAACATATTGATTTCCTATGCTTTGAAAGGGTTGTTGGACCATGAGTACAACTGACTTGATCATAATGATATTGTATATTTTAGATGTTTAAGTACAAACAAGCTGTCACTGTTGACGATCCTTCTGCCAAAATACAGAGAGTGAAGGGATGTTTACAGTAAGTCCTTACTTTGTCTTATGACTACATGTACATTAGAAATTTGATCATACTGTATTTATTGTTTCGTTTTCTAAATCAATGTATCTGTGTAGTTGACCGAGGCACTACATGAATCCTGTATTAATTAAGGATCAGTTTGAGTTTTTCTAAAACACAAAGTGCTGCCTCATTAATTTTGTACAACATTTGGAAGATGGCTGATTATTACTACTAAAAAATTAGATTTTATAAAAATTTAGTTCATCATACCTGTAATCCAAAGGTACAAGACCCCAGGGGGTCATTGATTTTCCCTATATGCATATAGTAAAAACTTAAAAAATCTTCTTTTAAAGAACCCAAAGAGCTAGAGCTAAGATATTTAGCATGCAACATGTTCTAATGGGTGTCTACAAAGTTTGTTCAAATAAAAGTTCTGGGGTCAAAATTGGCCCGGCCCCAGGGGGTCATTGATTTTCCGTATATGCATATAGTAAAAACTTAAAATTCTTCTTTGAAAGAACCCAAAGAGCTAGAGCTAAGATATTAAGCATGAAACATCTTCTAATGGGTGTCTACCCGGTTTGTTCAAATAAAAGCCCTGGGGTCAAAATTGGCCCCGCCCCGGGGGTCATTGATTTTCCTTATATGTGTATAGTAAAAACTTAAAAAATCTTCTTTGAAAAAAAAAACAAATAGCTAGAGTTTAGATACTAAGCATGAAACGTCTTCTAATGAGTGTCTACCAAGTTTGTTCACATAAAAGCCCTGGGGTTAAAATTGGCCCCGCCCCCGAGGGTCATTGATTTTCCTTATATGTGTATAACAAAAACTTAAAAAATCTTCTTTGAAAAAACTCAAATAGCTAGAGTTTAGATATAAAGCACGAAGCATCTTCTAGTGAGTGTCTAGTTTGTTCAAATAAAAGCCCTTGGGTCAAAATTGGCCCCGCCCTGGGGGACATTCATTTTCCTTATATGTGTATAGCTAAAAATTAAAAATCTTCTTTGAAAAAAAACGAATTATAGCTAGAGTTCAGATATTAAGCATGAAACATTTTCTAGTAAGTGTCTACAAAGATTGTTCAAATACAAACCCTTGGGTCAAAACGGGCCCTGCCCCAGGTGTGTCATTGTTTTTAACTATATGTGTAAAGAAAAAACTTGACCAGCTAGACCTTAGATGTTTAGCATGAAACATCTTCTAATGGGTGTCTACCAAGTTTGTTCGAATAAAAGCCCTGGGGTTTAAACTGGCCCCGCTCCTGGGGCCTATATACAGGTGAGCAACTTCAGGGCCATCATGGCCCTCTTGTTTCTAAGTTTACTACTCAAATGTTTCCTCATTGGCCAGAGACTTGCAGGAACTGTGACTTTATGGGTATATTATTTCTTTCTTGAAGATTTAATAAAAAGGTAAAATCCATCTACTTATTCAGGGCAATTTCATTCTCTAGGGAGGAAAGTTTGAGAAGAAAAAATCTGCTCATTTCCCTCTTCTTTTCAATAATCTTAGTATACGCCTTGTTTCTTGGTATGTAACTGAAATATCACAATGAAATACTTTAAAAAACAATTACCCTGTCTCACTGGTATGTTTACAGTAAATACTTTATTGCATTGTTCTTTTCTTCCATAACACTTTACAAGTAAAATATAACACTATGAGAATGAAATAAATATATTTTGCAGTATCCATTTAAACACCACTCATGTTAAAATGGCCATTTGAAAGTTTTCTCAGTTACTTCATCACTTCTACTTTTTTCCTTTGGAAGGAATGACCATTTTAAGAAATGAAAGTAATAGACAATAATCTATAATTAGGTCCCTACTGTTTGTAATTACAGTGCTTCATATTCCTGTCCTGTATTAAGATCAAAATACTTCACAGTGAACTCAGTTTCACCAACAATAAGTTGTAGATCATACTGCCAGATATCTGGCCATCCGTCTGCTGGTGGTTTAATTTTTACTTGTCCTACTAAGCTACAGTCCTCCTTCTTTATACAGTATCGAGGATCCTCTCTGGTAGATCTATATAGACTATTAAGTTTCATTTTATGTTTTCTTCCTGCTGAAGTGGCTGTTTCATACCCTTCAAATATAAATGTCTGTCCACACTCCACTATCTGACCCTTTTCTATCATCTTGTAAAATATCATGTCACAATAAATGTCCCCATCACAATTAATCCTAAGTTGTTCTGGATCTACTCCCACTTTAAATGGTTTTCTATTATCAAATCCGTAAGTGTACCTGGACCTACGTTGTATGATGTTTTTAGGTTTCCAGCCCATCATCACTGCCCCATTTAACACAGCAAGTCTAGCATCATCTACAAGGATAACTCTCATGTTACTGAACTGTGATTGAATTCTCTCCCTTACATAGGGAGATTCACTGTACCCTCCAACTAAAATGATTGTTTTGATTCCATTTTCATCACATTGGTTTAGTATTTCAACCAACTTACTAATGATTTTTTCAACTGATGGCTTAAATAATTCTTCCAGAATCTTTCTGTTGAGTGTAAGTCTAGCTTCAATAGAATGATACTCAAGTTGTCTGGCATATTTTGAGTTATTTACTATATCATTCAAGTTCTTCCCTGTTTTTTCTTTTATGACATGCACCAGAGCATTTTCCATTTTCAGTTGCATTGTACTTGTTTGTGATTTAAACTCTTTTTTCTTCAATCTAAACTCATTAACAAGACTAACACATGCTGATGAGTAAGTAATTGAGAAATTACTCCATACCTCTTTTCCTACTAAATTCTCCATCATGTTGATAAAACAATCATCAACATCACTGCCACCAAAGGTTTCTCCTGTAGCTCGGTATATTTCTTGTATTTTGCCACCATCTATTATTTTATGAGCACATGTGTCTGTTGTCCCTCCACCTAAATCAGCAAGTATGTACATAAACCCACATGGTAATGCTTCTGTCATTATTCGTGGTGAACTGTATAAAGCTGCTGCCTCAGGCTCAAGAACAAGTCGAAGATTTGTCTCGGGGATTCCTGCTTTTGTCGAAGCTTCTCTCATAAACTGACGTGCAGAGTCAGATGATATCGCTGGAATTGTTATCATCCATTGCGTGTCAGTTTGTTTCAGTTGAAGTTTTGATTCACAAACTATAATTGATGCTTCGTCTTTTAGATGTTTTATCGCTATTGAAAAAACTGTCATAGCTTCAAGTGATTTTCCAGAAATATCTTTAATTACCATTTTTCTTTTAATTTTACTTTCTTGATATATTTTCATTTTAAAGTTTTCAAAGAAGTAAAATTTTGATCTGTTACATTCAGAAAGCTCATGAAAATCAGTCTGTGCTTTGTATCCAAATGAATGGAATGTTTTGTCTGGTTTTAATAACAATACTGTAGGTACTCTATCTTCCTGCAGCATTCCTCCATGTTCTCCTGACTTAATGTTGTCTTCATATCCCTTAAAGGAATATGCAAACCCAGAATGGACTGTTCCAAAATCTATGGCTACTACAACAAGCGGCTTCTTTCTGCTTTCATTACTTTGTTCAGTTTGTTGTCTAACTGTTGGTTGTATGGCTGCTCCCATACTTGTTCATACAGTTTTACATTACCAGCATATCTTAACTTATTTGCCAGTTGAATTTTATATTGGCTTATTTTTGAAACGTGGTGCTTTTTTTCTTGCTTACAGTGTTTTGTTGATTTATTTGATAGTTGTAGGACTGTGCTCATGACTGTTGTAGCATTGTTAAAGTGTTCATTGGAGATCTCAGTAGTGAATTATTCTTAAAAAGAAAAGGAAAAAATCTTTTTGTCATCTTTTGTAATATTGACAATTTATAATATTGCAAATAATTTTGATAGATATTAAAGGGACTCGAATGAGGTTTTTTGATAAGACTGGACTAGAAATATTGTTCCTGAAATGTGTGTATCATTTTATGTAGATCTGGAACAATAACTTGTTGTGCATATTTTCAGATCATTCCCTCTTTTCTCTAATATCAGTTCTGTATTTTAAATGTTACAGTCGTGCTTATAGACACACACACACAAACTTTAATTCTTAACACATTCTTTATTATCCTTTGAAAATATTTCAATTTTAAGTGCTCCACTTAATGTATGTAAAAATTTTAAATTTTATTTTTAGGCTTAAGACCACATTGGAGCTTCTTTAAAGTGACATAATGCCCATCCAAGGGTGTATAGAAAGTGAACGGATGAAAGTCAAAATATGTTTTCATTTTGCTATAAGTCCTTTTAATTTCATACTTAAGTTTGTGTAAACAATGAATAACTCACAGATCCAAGCGAAATTTCTGTAAATATCCATCAGAATTAACCTATAATGCAGCTTAGTTTATAAAAAGAGTGTGGCAGTTTTTTAAAATTTTAGACAGATTTATATTTTTTCCCCTAAACATTTTCCAATATCAACTGTTGGTCAATTACCATTTTGACAGTCAATCTTTTGAAATATAAAGTTAATTTAGCTCAACTTGACCATGAAAATATGAGAATAATGTCACTTTAATGATAGGTCAAAGTGAAAAATAGTTGATTAGAAATTGCTGATTTATTATTATTATTTGTGACATTTCATAAAGATTTTAATTAATATTCACTTACCATTACTTCTTGTATTATCCCATTTCATAAAAACATTAATTGTAACTCCAATTTAGACTTGTGCCATGCATGTACATATTGATTTTCGTTCACCCACTGTTTCAGATATTTCTGATTTCAATGGACATTAAAATTTTTGACATATATCGCAAAAGCACTATACTAGCATTAAATAATTTAACAATTTTTTATCCCATGTTTAAAATTAACAACAAAAAGACACATTACTCAAAGTTAATTGTTGTCACAAGATTGTTATGCTTTAAATTAAAATTGCCTATTGAGTCCATGTTTACAAAATATCTGAAATGATAGAACTTAAAGTACTAAGTGTTAAGTCATTGACAAAAAAGTGAAATTCCCCTTTTTAATTTATTTTTATTAAATTTAAGGTCTATTTTAGTTCAATTCAATTCAATATTTTAGGTCTATTTTAGTATATCATAAGTATCAAAATAATTTTGGTATAAAAAGGGAGTGAAACGTCTTCAAGACGTTTCACTCCCATTTGGGAATGAAACGTCTTGGTGTGAACCGTCTTGGTGTGAACCGTCTCAATAGTGAAACGTCTGTCTACCTTAACTGGCCCCGCTCCGGGGGGCCTATATACAGGTGAGCGACTTCAGGGCCATCATGGCCCTCTTGTCATTATCTTGTAAAAGAAAAAACTTGTGCAAAGTAATTTTACATTTAATCTCTGCACTTTTTAACTTAACGCATATACAGATCTTTATGTATCACTAATAATAATGATTTTGCATGTAGACCGTTTACTGGATGTTCTACATTTCAGAGCCCATTTTGAGACGACCCCTGGGTTAGAGCATGACTGCGGTCTGTTACAACAACAAATATCCTTACTACAGAGGCAGAGGCCCGTTGATGTAAAAACTTTTTATTTGTTAGAAAATTAATTCACTTACACACAGTGTGTGTCAAACTTATTTGTTTATGTAGTTTTACCAGTTTTTCCCAGCATTTTCTGGCTTCATTATATCTCGTGTTACAAAGTGTCTTAGCGTATTCCACACTATATATTTTCAATGGACTTACCCAGCTTTCAGTGTAGAATAAACCATTCATCATTTTTAGGGAAAATTTCAAAATACATGTATTTAGTTACAAAATAGCAAATACTGCAGACGGCACAGATATGCTGGCTGATCATGGTCTGCACTGGCTACAATGGTAGAATCAGTTGCTATTAGCAGGTTAAGTAAAGTTGGTGGTCATTTTATATAGATTTTCATCCACCTAAAACCAGAATTGTAAAAAGTGAGCCTGTGGCCAAGACTTGTTTTTATTAGTACATATATATACGATATGACAGGAAATGGCCGTCCTATGTATCATAACATTTTACCTGCTCAATTTTTGGTGTCCTGATTTTAATTTGAAACAATCATTTAAAAATGAAAGATATTGCAATATCAGAATACAAAAATTTGAGCTTCCAACAGCATAGAGTCTGGCCTCAAGGTTATAACATCTTTTTTAGAGTTCTGTCGGAAATCTCATTGGTCAGTGTACATTCTGTGACAGTTTCTGACCAATCAAATACTTGTGAGATGAGTTTGAGCTTAGAGAATTTCTTTATTTATAACCTAGGACCCAGTCCGAGGTTGTAAAGAAAGTCTCTTGTCCAAGGTTATTAAGAAAGTCTCTAAGCTCAAGCGTATGTCATTGGTCGGGAATTGCCACAGAATGTATTTTGACCAATGAAAATCCTGAGATTTGAGACAGAAAACAGAAAAAAAAATTATAACCTCATGGCCTGGTTAGAGTGCACGACTGGGCAGGCTGGCCTGGCTCTACACTGGTGGCCATGGATAATCTTTTTCTGTTCCAGCAGATTAAGGGTTAATTATTTCACTTACATTATAGGTTGGTGATGAGATGATGGAGAAGGAAGGCAAACATATAGTATTTAACCAGATGCCGAGGAAAGCTTCAATCATCAACATGCCTGTAATCACTACACTCTATTATTGTTGTTTGTATCACTACGAAGACGGTGAAAATCTCTTGTCAAGTCCTGCTGGCATCCGTAAAGAGCATCAGGTAATAATATAACTAGTTAAGAAAAAGACACACAACAACCAGCCTGCATAGGTCATTTGTTTAGAGTGCAAGACTTTTAATCTCAACATTGTGGGTTTGATTCCCAGACTGGACAACTTAAATTACTATTCAGTCTTTCCGATGAGACTTTAAATCGAGGTCCTGTATATTAGTGCTTAAACACCTAAACGCTTTAACACGCTAAAGAACCAGGAGAAAGTTCTGAAATTGGGGCATCTTTCTGTATCTGTATCTTGCACTATTCTCCAAACAAATCTAAAGTAAAGACCAAGTAGTTGGCCAATTGGTAACGTTTTGATACTTTAAAAGTACACCAAAGTTTAAAAGCTTTTGAGAAACAACAATAAAAATATTTTTGAGGCATAACGGGACTTTAAAATAAATATTTCATAAATAAAGATTTATATATTTCAGTTGACAGAGAAACAATTCATATGGACTGCAATAAAAGCCAGAGCAAGGTTGAGAAAGTGGACAGATATTGAAGATATGTGCAGAACTAAGGTATAGAAAAAAATTAGAAATAAAGCTTTAATGACAAATGCATAAATAAATATCAAATATACAAAAGAAAAACAACTTATCTGTGTTGGTGTTTTGGGAGTATTGATGTTGGAACTAAGGCTTGTAATCAGTGATTTTTACTACCCCTTTTAGAAATAGATCAGTCTGACTAATGTAAAATTAGGTAAATTAAAAAAAATGATTTTAAACATTTGACCTATTTTGAATAGTTATTTAACACCTAATGTAAAATTAGGTAAATTAAAAAAAAATGATTTTAAACATTTGACCTATTTTGAATAGTTATTTAACTACACTTTGGTAAAAAAAATGAATTTCTGTTGTGTAAAACATGTCTGTTTATCAGACCTATTATAAAGAACTAGGATTTTTAAGGATTTGGAATGTCTGTTTATCAGAAATATCTAAAATCTGGGAAAAAATGGTAGCTCTTCATGATAAACATATTATTACCATAATTTTATTTTATTTCTGTTTAAAATGTTTCTGTTATCATATTCTAACAACATGCCAAGTTTAAAGAAATTCTATTGAAGAGTTTTCATTTTGCCTATAATTATGTCTATATGGAAAATCCCGAAAACGTCCTTAATGGCTTTCACTTATGAAATAAATACTGAAATTTTAGTACAAGCTGATAATTGATATAATATATACATATATGGTATCATTGCAATACCTGAAATTTTATATCTTTTTCAGGGATTTTTCGGTACAAAAATGAGGTGTGTTATAGGATTTGACAAGGTTGCTTTCATTTTAAACAATGCAGGAGCACCACAAAAGGTATAATGGACTTTATATTTCTTAAATAGCTAAATTAGTTATTGTTTCATGTTGTACATAAGGCTTCAACACCGTAAGAATAAAAAACAAAAACTTCTTTATCTTGTTATACAGTCGATTCCGGTTATAACGAACTCAATGGGACATTAAAATATCGTTTGTTATATCCGAAGTTCGCTAAAAGCGAAGTAGCAACAACTTGCTGATTTGTTTGGATGGGGGAAATTTGCCTTGAAAAAGACTGGTTACCGGTGTAACCGGTATTTCACTGCAGCGGTTATTTAATGCGGGGCATTTATTGAGCAATGTATTATGTACATGGTACATATATTCATTCATGTATTTATTGTCTATGAAGTTCTTACCATTTGTTTTCTTTTGCTATTTGTTTATTATCGTTTGGTTAATATTGCAAACACAAAAAATCGATTACTTGGCAATTATCGGGTATTTACAACAATTAACTGAGGGTGTGAAATACAAATTTTCCGTAACAAGTAGGAAATTATGTTGTGAGAACATTTTTCAAAATCTTTATTCCCTGAAGCCATAACTAACTCGGCAATCATTTGATTGTTTAATTATCGTATAGTGTTATTCATGTACTGATCCTAATCGAGCGCATCCCGATATTTCAATTATAACAGTTTGTTATAACCGAGGAAATTTAAATGTTTTCCGTCATTTGGGGCTTGAAAAAATGGTTTGTTATAGCCGAAAATTCGCTATAAGCGGGTACGTATTAAGCGATATGATTTAATATAAAATAAAGAAGAAATCGGCCGGGAATGTCAGATTAAGTTCGCTATTAACGATAATTCGTTATAAGCGAGTTCATTATAATTGGAGTCGACTGTACTAGCAAAATAAAAGCAACTTCAAAATGTAAGTTGTTGAAGCCCTAGAAGTAAATGTGTCAGTTTTTAAACCTAGGAACCTTTAATTTGAGCTCAGGTTTGGTCACAACCATGTTTACTCATATTATACCTGTACTGGTCAGTTGGGTTGGGCTTTTTACAATGCACTTAAACAGTAAAGGTTGTATGGCGACATTACAGCTTTACTGGTGGAAGAAGACCTTAAATGTCCATCAGGGACAAACCAGCACATGAGTAGGATCTCTAAAGTTCTTTAAGCTAGCTGAAAACCTTCCTCACATGAAAGAACCAAAAGTCCCTGTCTGGGTTTGAATGGGGCAAGTAGTTTGAAGTCAACGGTCTTAACCTCTCGGCCACAGACACACTTCTGTACTGGTCAGTCCATAAAGTGGATTGAAATGTAATTTTATTTTTATATAAAAAAAGAAAACAAACATGTTGACTTTTACATTAAGGTAGGGTTTAAGTTGAAATGGTGAACTTCAGAAGGTCTTAGAGAAAACACATTCTAATTTCAATTACTCTATTTATATAAGTTTTGTCAGAAGATTCTGACAAACATAAATACTTATATATGTACTAAAATTCTAAAACTAGTGTTTTAACTTCCTCTTTTTTGATATTATAGGAAGTTAGTAAATATTTGATGTTGGTTGATGATGTTGAAAAACGTTTAGAACTTGCAAAGAAATTTTCCTGTCATCATGCAGCTATTGAGGTTGGTATTTTTGTCTCCCATCATTTTGTTAGAAACTCCTTGATACCATTACTAAAGTACCTATTTTTGGGTACAGTTGTTTACATAGTTGAAAAGTATATCAAGTTTTTTGTGCCCCCACGTTAGTGGCGGGCATTTAGATTTACCCTTGTCCGTCCGTCCTTCCGTCCGTCCGTCCGTCCGTTCACTTTTGTGTCGCATGTAACTCAAAAAGTATTTGACCTAGAGTCATGAAACTTTACAGGAATGTTGATCAGCATGTGAAGTTGTGCACCTGGGTATTTTCATCTGGATATTTTTAGTATTTTCAGAGTTATTGCCCTTGACTTAGTAAAATTTGGCAATTTTCAACTTGTGTCGCATGTAACTCAAAAAGTTTTTGACCTAGAGTCATGAAACTTTACAGGAATGTTGATCAGCATGTGTAGTTGTGCACCTGGGTATTTTCATCTGGATATATTAAGTATTGTCAGAGTTATTGCCCTTGACTTAGTAAAATTTTGCAACTTTCAGCCTTGTGTCGCATGTAACTCAAAAAATATTTGACCTAGAGTCATGAAACATTACAGGAATGTTGATCAGCATGTGTAGTTGTGCACCTGGGTATTTTCATCTGGATATTTTTAGTATTTTCAGAGTTATTGCCCTTGACTTAGTAAAATTTTGCAATTTTCAACTTGTGTCGCACGTAACTCGAAAAGAATTTTACCTAGAGTCATGAAACTTTACAGGAATGTTGATCAGCATGTGTAGTTGTGCACCTGGGTATTTTCATCTGGATATTTTTAGTATTTTCAGAGTTATTGCCCTTGACTTAGTAAAATTTGGCAATTTTCAACATGTGTCGCATGTAACTCAAAAAGTATTTGACCTAGAGTCATGAAACTTTACAGGAATGTTGATCAGCATGTGAAGTTGTGCACCTGGGTATTTTCATCTGGATATTTTTAGTATTTTCAGAGTTATTGCCCTTGACTTAGTAAAATTTGGCAATTTTCAACTTGTGTCGCATGTAACTCAAAAAGTTTTTTGACCTAGAGTCATGAAACTTTACAGGAATGTTGATCAGCATGTGTAGTTGTGCACCTGGGTATTTTCGTCTGGATATATTAAGTATTGTCAGAGTTATTGCCCTTGACTTAGTAAAATTTTGCAACTTTCAGCCTTGTGTCGCATGTAACTCAAAAAATATTTGACCTAGAGTCATGAAAACATTACAGGAATGTTGATCAGCATGTGTAGTTGTGCACCTGGGTATTTCATCTGGATATTTTTAGTATTTTCAGAGTTATTGCCCTTGACTTAGTAAAATTTTGCAATTTTCAACTTGTGTCGCACGTAACTCGAAAAGAATTTTACCTAGAGTCATGAAACTTTACAGGAATGTTGATCAGCATGTGTAGTTGTGCACCTGGGTATTTTCATCTGGATTTTTTTAGTATTTTCAGAGTTATTGCCCTTGACTTAGTAAAATTTGGCAATTTTCAACATGTGTCGCGCGTAACTCAAAAAGTATTTGACCTAGAGTCATGTAACTTTTACAGGAATATTGATCAGCATGTGCAGTTGTGCACCAGGTATTTTCGTCTGGATTTATTTAGTATTTTTAGAGTTATTGCCTTTCACTTAGAAAATTTTTGCAATTTTCAACTTGGATTTGACATAGTCATTAAACCTTATGGGCAGGTTGCTCAGCATATTTTAGATTTGCACCTGGGGTTTCGCTTGTGGATTTATCAAATATTTGTAGAGTTATTTCCCTTGACTTAGTAAAAAGATTGACAGAACAGTGGCGCGGTGGGGGCCCCGTGTCCTATGGACACATTTCTAGTTTTTATTTATTTATCAGCTATTCAACAATATATATTGCGCTTATTGTTAATTACAAATCTGCAGGATAAAATACAAAAACTGCCTATGATATATGAAAGACTGCCCCATTCTTTCTATCAAGTAAAAGTCTATGATGAATTATAATTCAAAGGATATTTCAAAACTATATGGAATCTTTATTTACATTTAGGCATACCCACAAATATTGTATAGAAAAGAAAAGTTTAGTGGAATTTTTTGTATTCATGTATATAAATGATTATTTTATATTGCTCACCCTCCTTCACAACTTAAAGTTTTTAAAAAGTAAGTTAACACTTATCTGACATAGCCTTACTATTGTTTGTTTATTTTGTAGACATATCGTGCACAAAGAGATAAACAGGGATTACAAATGTTCATACAGAAATTAAAACCAAACTCAGAAGAGTGGTTTATAGCAAATGGTGCTTTACAGGACAAGGTATTTCAATTTATATTTATTTAAATCTTCTTTTTTCATGAAATTAAAGACGGAGAAAAATATTGAAAAAACGATGAGGATAGTTTAAAATCATTTCAATTAAGCTTCTTAGCAACCAGTCTGCAAAAAAAGTTAAATAATGGTCTTTTACACAAAGTGTGTTGTCTCTGATTTTTCGGATGGGTTAAACTTATCTTTAAATTTTTTTAATTGTTCCAAATTTAAAGCAGGTTAATTGTTTAATTGCAGCTCTTGTCTGACTGAATTAAAATTTTAATTGCAAAGTGAATTTGATACCGTTTCTTGGTAGGATTATTGTATTAGAAACTGTTACTTGAAAACAACTGAATTGTATGATTGTGTTTTGATACATCTTTAAAACTATCTGGCAAGATTACAAAAAGACGATGATTCTACCGTAAGACACACAGCCACTTGTGCTTAGAATAATACATGAAAGGGGGGGGGGGCTCAAGGTTTTTCTCCTGCAAAACTGCCAAGTCCCCATTATGTGCAGGTCAGATTTAAAACCTAACACAACTAGAAAATGAAAAGCACAACATATGCATGTACATGTATTGTAATGAGTACATGTATTCAAAACAAAGTGAATTGTAAATTTTAATAGTGATAACAATTTTTTTTCTGTTGATGATTTCACATCTATGGTGTTTTTGATTGAAATATATTGATGTTTTTTTTTTTTTTAACATTTCAGACTGTGAAATGGAAGACTTGAGAACTTGTAGTCATATATAAAACTATCTCTGTGATATTAATTGATTCTTACCATTCCATGAAACATAACAGGAATTATGTGTAGACACATCTTCTAACATATCTGTGTAGTGACTTCTTTTAAAAAAGATGAAATGATAAATCTTAATTTTTTTGTATGTTTTTGCTACCAGTCCATATTTGGAATACTTGGGCTTAATCCCAGTCATGGTGCAAAATTTGTTGAAATTCTTTACATCAGTAAAGTTGTATATGTGAAATGAAAATGTATTCAAGGGAATAAGGTGAAAACGTGTCAAAATTCCACCATCTTTTTTTGATTAAATTTAATCCTTTTTAAATAGAAAATTATTTCATGTATGTAAACTTATTGAATCTTATTTATGAAATGTATCTACAGATATATCTTTTTGTTTTTTATGGATGTACATGTGCTTGAAATACGTTTTTTACATACGAAATTTGTTTTTCAATAGGATTAGTAAATTTTTGTCTTATCATGTCAAGTGTATTAGTTATTACATATAGACTGCCCTGTAATAGTGAATTTTAACCCTTCTTCAAACAATGAGTGAGTGCCTATGCTTTAAATTTAGAATCATTATTTATGCACAAAAGGGCAGCCAGGAAATCTAGAAAGTCATATTATCTTCACAATATTTGTGTCACTTTAAAGTGAATTGGTCTGTAATGAGAGTTCTGTTATATAATATGTAATTATGTTGATAGTATATAGTACAAGACATTACAACTACCCTGGTAACCAAAAAAAGAATTACATATGAATGTTGTTGGCAAGTGTGAGATACTTTAACCCAATTTTACATATATTCAAATAGCAGATAATAAGTTTTTCTAGAACAGAATGTTATAATCTTGGGTGAACTCGACGTACACCTTTTTACTTTCATTTTTTCAGAGTTTTTAGGGGCTATATTCAGTGGACGCTGTACAACAGTGATTATTTGTAATATTTAAAGATCCTGTATGTTTTGTGATTGATATTGTTACTGTGTGTATACCACACTTGCAAAATGTTATATATATTTATAATTATGCAAATAAAACAATTTTCAAACATGGAAGAATATGTAAAATGTGTAGTGCAAATATTTGTGCACATTATATTTACTCAATAAATTATATGCATTCATTTCTTATTGGAAAATTTGACTTAGAATTTAAAGAACATAAATTTCTAATTACCTCCCTTTATTTACATTCGGAAATATCTTTATAAATTATAAGATAATGCTTATTGGAACTTACAATATTGACAAATCTTAATTTGAGCATCAAATTTTTAAAATAAAACCATGAAAAAAATGTGTTACAGGATCTTTAAATGTTGTTACTATAAATCATGTAGAACTTTATCTATATCTTTTTCAAGCAGTATACATATGAAAATATTTCTATGAAATATTTCAATCATTTTCATTGATATTTGAAAACCTTTTAGAAAATGTAAATCAGTCCACTTTAAATCTCAACAAATTAAGAACAATTAAGAGGAAATGTATTTATAGATATATTTATGTCCTCTATATGTTTATATGCCTAATCCTGGTGAAGTTGTATAATGGTTTTGTCTTGCTATAACTCGGAAATATCCATAGTCAGTTTTTGTGAATTTCAATTATGCATTGAAGAGCAGAGTGGCATATATCTGTACTTATGATATAGGCAGTCATTTTTGCTAATGGAATGTCTCGGCTTAACCTGCTGGCAGCAAAAGTGATTTGCTGTCAGTATAGAGCCAGGCCAGCCTGCACATCTATATTATGAGTCTGATTTGGCTCTGTAATATAGGCAAACTTTCTAGTTTCATCGTAATATCCCCAAAAATGATAATGGAAAGTTCGATGAAAGAATTCACAGATTTGATCCAGTGAAAATAGGACAAGTTCAGAACATAAAAGCAGAAGGCAAAGGCATTGTTAATTTTTGAATGTGCACCTGTTTGTTGTTATAATTGAGTATTGTATACTTAGTTTGTATTGTCTTTTTACACATTCACATACATGTATTTTTGTTTTGTTTTGTAAATTGCTGGTGCAATTTTGTTGCAGAATTATGAAAACAGTAAACTTTTAAAAAAAAATCTGTTCTTTAATACTTTCCCCTTGTTTTTTGCCTCATTGTTCTGTATTTCCATCCATCCACCTTTGGATCAGGAGGTCGAAGTTTCGAGCCCCACAGGGAGCGTTAATTGAAGGTTTAATGTTTTTTGTGAGACTCAATCGGAAATGGCCGCTTCGTGAGCCGTGAGGAAGTTTAAATGAATGGTTACAGATTTCTATTCCTCTGGCATAGTGGTAGGAGTTTGGAGGTACATGGTATGCAAGCAAAAGGTGTCTCATAAGTCAGAAATGGCTGAGCCTTTTAGTAGGGGTGACACTATAATAAACAAGACTTTTACCTTTTATAGTAGATCAATAGGTGTTCCCCATTTTGACATTAAGGTAGTGTCACTGTAATGCTTTCCCGCCAAAAAATTTCTAACATCAGCCAATATCGTGTTAAATCAGTCATTTGCGGAACATTATTTTTTCAACTATTTGGTTTTTAATCATTCTTAACCGTTTATAAACGAAATTTATTACATAGCGATAAGGGATGAGTGATTGTGAACAATCTAATGCCCAAGATTTTGAATAAAATAATATTCAGTAAATAACCGACCTTCTACAATACTTGCCGAAAATTGCTAGAATTTTTTGGTGGAAAGCTTTTACAGTAAGACTACCCTTAACATATATCGGCATTTTAAATTAATCAAGCTTGGGAATTTTGCCTAAAAATGCTTATCAAAAATACAACAATGCCAGTAACTTTTCTTCACACTCGCAAACTTAATAGTGTAGCGGATAATGAGCATGAATTGATATAAGTTGGTAAAAAGAAATGAGATTTTAACCAAAAAAAATGTCTTCTCCAAAGGCCATTTGTATAAAATAGCAATTGTATGAAACAAATGTAGATAGATATGTATATGCATAAGCATCAAGAAATATTGGTAAATACATGTACTTTGTTGAAAATATGCAAGCCCCCATTCCATTTTGCAAATTAGAATTTCTTATAGTTGCAAAAATTTGCAAATGGAAAAAAATTGTTCAATTCTAGCCCTGAATCCTACCAATATTTTCAGAGAAGATCATTGTATGCATTGCCAGTCTCAGCTACATGTAACTGATAGCTTCCCTCAACTTTTGAATATCACAAGCAAACAAAATGGACACAAATGGCATGGTCAGACTGCACAAATGGCATGGTCAGACTGCACAATGTGCATGGTCAGACTACTCAATTGGCATGGTCAGACTTCTCAAATGGCATGGTCAGACTATTCAATTGGCATGGTCAGACTTCTTAAATGGCAAGGTCAGACTAGTACATTGGCATGGTCAGACTACTCTATTTGCATGGTCAGACTAGTCCATTGGCATGGTTAGACTTCTCAATTTGCATGGTCAGACTAGTCCATTGGCATGGTCAGACTTCTCAATTTGCATGGTCAGACTACTCCATTGGCATGGTCAGACTTCTCAATTTGCAGTCAGACTACTCCATTGGCATGGTCAGACTTCTCAATTTGCATGGTCAGACTACTCCATTGGCATGGTCAGACTATTCAATTAGCATGGTCAGACTACTCAATTTGCATGGTCAGACTACTCCATTTGCATGGTCAGACTATTCAATTGGCATGGTCAGACTACTCTATTTGCATGGTCAGACTAATCCATTAGCATGGTCAGACTACTCTATTTGCATGGTCAGACTACTCTATTTGCATGGTCAGACTAGTCCATTGGCATGGTCAGACTACTCAATTTGCATGGTCAGACTAGTCCATTGGCATGGTCAGACTACTCTATTTGCATGGTCAGACTACTCCATTGGCATGGTCAGACTTCTCAATTTACATGGTCAGACTACTCCATTGGCATGGTCAGACTACTCCATTGGCAATGGTCAGACTATTGAATTAGCATGGTCAGACTACTCAATTTGCATGGTCAGACTACTCAATTTGCATGGTCAGACTACTCAATTTTCATGGTCAGACTAGTCCATTGGCATGGTCAGACTACTCAATTTGCATGGTCAGACTACTCATTGCATGGTCAGACTACTCAATTTTCATGGTCAGACTACTCCATTGGCATGGTCAGACTATTCAATTGGCATGGTCAGACTTCTCAATTTGCATGGTCAGACTACTCCATTGGCATGGTCAGACTTCTCAATTTACATGGTCAGACTACTCCATTGGCATGGTCAGACTATTCAATTAGCATGGTCAGACTACTCAATTTGCATGGTCAGACTAGTCCATTGGCATGGTCAGACTACTCAATTCAATTTATTTTGTTATTAAATTCTTGCTAAAATTATTGCTTTGAAATTGTTACTGAATTCTTGACTTGAATTTGACCGAGTTTGTTATTAAATTTTTGCTATGAAATATTTACTAAATTCTTACCTTTAATTCAGCAATAAATTATTTACCAAATCCTTGCAAGGAAATAATTGCAATATTCTTGATTAAAATACAATGGCTTATCAACTTAAAATAGATACTTTACATTCTGATTAAATAGGCAAACACACTAATGAAACACTAGGCAATAAGGTCATAACTTTATATTTAGTAAAAAATTACACTGGCACTGTTTTTACAGACTTTATTTTGTTTATTGTAGAAGCCAAACTAAAGAATATCACAATGTATAATACTTGTGCTAAAGTTGTAGGAAACACACACTTAGCCTGTGATTAAAAATTAGGACCCCCGTCTTATAAGACATCTGTGTAATAGGCGAGTAAATACAGTAGAAGAGAAAAATTGCCACAAAATCTGCTTAGAGTCTTATTCGAAGTCTTATGGTGAAAGGGGTTATGAAATTATTTCACTTACAATAACTGCTCATGACTTATTACAACAGTCTGTTATCTTCTAATACTGTAGAACCGGTTTTATTTGCATTTGAAAAATTCTTCTTAAAATCTGGGGATCAATTGCTATGAATACATAGTTGTCATGAATAAATATGTTATTTTTGTGTTGTTTTGTTGGGTTTTATCTCGCACCAACTTAGTAGAGATCATGTGGTCACTTTCCAGCTTTAGTGGTGGTAGAAGCCCTAAGGTGCCCTTCCATGCATTTATTCAAAAATTTCGGGGGAGCATATAGTCGTCGGGTTGTCCGTCCGTCAGTCCGTCCGAGCCAACATTTGATTATTATGAGCTTCATTACGTAGTTAAGTAAAGAACATAAACTCATAAAATTCAAATTAAGAGCTATTTTTTTGTTTTTATGAGCTTATTTTGCTTATGGACGTTGGTCCAGGTGGTGTTTATGAGCTCATTTGCCTCATAAACATCAAATTTTGGTACATCCGTACGTATGTACGTCCCGAATTAGTGTCCGGCCCATATCTTTGTTATTTGAAGTCAGATTTTAAAACTATTTCACAGAAATGATCACCATATTAAGACGATATGTCGCGCGCAACATTTGGGTCGCTACCTTGAAGGTCAAGGTCACAGCATGAACTTGCAGCAAAATCGTGTCCGGTCCATAACTTCATTACTTGAAGTCGGATTTTAAAACAATTTCACAGTAATGATCACCATATTAAGACGACGTGTCATGCGCAACATTTGGGTTGCTACCTTGAAGGTCAAGGTCACAGTATGACCTTACAGCAAAATCGTGTCCTGCCCATAACTTCGTTATTTAAAGTCGGATTTGAAAATTATATCACAGAAATGATCACCATATTGAGACTTGTTGCGCGCAACATTTGGGTCGCTACCTTGAAGGTCAAGGTCACAGCATGACCTTGCAGCAAAATTGTGTCTGGTCCATAACTTCGTTATTTGAAGTCGGATTTTACAACTATTTCACAGAAATGACAATGTGTCATGCACAACTTTTGGGTTGTTTTTACACTTTGAACTTTGTCTATGACATAACTCTGACTCTACAAGAGGTATACCTTCCTGTGTCCAAAACCTATTCGGGGAGCATCACCCTGTTCAACCGGCTCTTGTTATACCGAGCTACAAAACTTCTTCTACATGCCTTTTATCAGTTAGGAGAAAAATAGGGTATTCATGTTCATTAACTTGATGTCTACATTTAGATTGATAAAACATCATGTTTACCAAAAGACATTTAATGAGACACATTTTGAAACGATACATGTATTGTGCTTGACGAAAGGTGAACTTCTTGTGTGTGTAATGGAACCACAGCCATGACAGCAAGGGAACAGTGGGGACATTTAGTTCATTAGTGTTGGAAGCTGTCACACATTAAATTTTAGTAAATGATCCTTACACAGAATTTTTCTTTGTATCATGAAATTGACAAATACTAAGTGTTGACTAAGTCCAAACTGTAAGTTCGTGACATTATTTTATAAAAACAGTAATTCATTTTCAGATAACGGAAATGGGTGTTTATATACTACATCCATCTTAATAAAATGGGTAAACGCTGTCAAATTTTTTATGATGATGTCATTGCAGCCATTGGAGAACAAAATTTGTTATGGGTGGGTACTTTTATTGATTCACTTTTATTGGAAAATGAAAACAAATCCTTTGTATATTATAAAGTTGTATTCACCAATATAATAAATAACAAATACACATTCAATAACAGAAGATTATCCCATTTACAGCCAGTATATTACTGAAAATAATATGAAGTGAAAATAATCATTTTTTCATTGCAGTAAAATAAAAAAGCAACAACAAAAAATTGCTCTGTTAATAACTGACTAAACTGAATGTATAATATTAAATATAACTTATGAGATGATGGTTGATTAAAGAGGCAATGATATTGCCATATTGAATTCTTTGCACACAAAATTTGTTGAGACCATTTTTGTCACTAATGCCAAATGTATTGGTTTAAACATAGTTAATCTCTATTGCAAAACAAGTTATTGCATCTTATATTAATGACTTTTGAGTCTGTTTTTTGGAACCAACCAGTAACCATTAACCAACCTTAATTGTATTAAGTTACATATGTTGCAGACAAGCACTAACATTAACTAATAATACCTGAGCTAGTTTGTTTTCAATTATCAAAAGAATTTAAAGTTTTCCCTACTTCAGAAAATAATTGTTAACCTAACAAAGCTCCAGTTATTTAGTGCCTGTTAAAGATCTTACAAATATTTGCTACCAAAATTATGTTACAAAACAAAAAACAAAACAAAGACATAAACACTTAAAAGATTAAATTATTAAAAAAACACCAAACATGTTATTTGGTGTAAAAAATTATGTTTACTTTATACTCGTTATAAAATATTTTCATCATGCAAAAAACTAAAACATTTTTGAAACTTGAACAGAGAAAGGGTTACTGTTCCTGACTTTGAAATAATATTCGTTTCCAAAAAATATTTTTTTCTTTTCAACAGACTAGAAAAGGTAGAGACCAGATAGATCTTACGTAATTCAGATCATATATTCACGTTATATCCATAAAATATGTTTAAATTATACAATTGTGATATCACAAACATGTATACACGAGAAAAACGTTTAAATGTGAAAAAAACTGCATATATCATCAATGTCATTTCAAATAAGAGACTAATTATCACAGTCAAATAAACTGTTCTTATGAAGTTGGCAAAATATATTTTGATACTTTTCTTATTTCACTTTAATATAGCAAAATCCTAAACATTCAATGCATTAAGTATAAGCAAGGGTTAAACAACACTAAATTATAAAAGTACCCGGTAACAGTTCTCAAAACCATTTAAAATAAATGAAAAAATTTTGTCTATAAAAAGAAAATTTGATAAAATGAAAAATTTAATGAAAGTGTACAAAAATTAAGCTTTTTGCTTAAATCAAAATATTTGCTAAGGTTGATTCAAAACTGTTTTTGTCTGAACATATAATTCAGTTATTAAAAGAAAGCATGGTAACACAAATATTGCATATTATCCATTTGAGTTCAAAGGTCGACTTATCACATTGGGTGTTGTCATTGCAGCCATCTCCCATCTGAAAATGTTGAAATAAAAAAAAATACATAAATGAGCCGCGTCATGACAAAACCAACATAATGGGTTTGCGACCAGCATGGATCCAGACCAGCCTGCGCATCCGCGCAGTCTGATCAGGATCCATGCTGTTCGCTTTACAACTCTATTACAAGTAGAGAAACTGATAGCAAACAGCATGGATCCTGATCAGACTGCGCAGATGCGCAGGCTGGTCTGGATCCATGCTGGTCGCAAACCCATTATGTTGGTTTTGTCGTGACACGGCTCAAATGGAGGTTGAAAATTCCTGGAAACTCATAAATCAGTATTCTTTTCATAGTTTTAAAAGCTTCTGTGTCAAGCCCGAAGATTTTACCAATATTACATAAATTATGTTGAATTCAGACAACAAAATATGGCCATTTGCCAATAAATGCTCAAACCACAAAATTTCAACAGGCATTTAATAACGTCATCTGTAGAAGTTTAAATTGTTTACACACAGTCGCACCCCAGGCAACATTCACCAGTTAAATGTTTCCAGTGTAAACATGGTTTTAGAAAGATTTTTGAGAGTCTGAAAAATGAATTAAAGAATGATACTGAAAACTTTCCAAATCTTTTATCTTTAACTTAATTTTATAGTGAAAAAAAGTTTCCAGGATTGTGCTATTAAAAATTTATATATCTAGATAATGACATGTTTATAGAGGCAAGCATACTCCTTAATTAGAAAAAAAGAGATCAGTGATCACATGTGTCCCCTGATGGTAGCCAATAAGGCAGTTGTAATGAGGGGTGTTTGAACAGTTTGTTCCCTATATGTCATGGCTACTTTGTAGCATGTTGTACCTAGAGGTACCTTGTACCTGTTTAGAGGGGACACAAAGCTGGCAACACAAAAAATAATTTACAGGCCAAAACGCTTTTTTCATTCAAGGGCTATAACTCACCCAAACATCATTCAAACGGAAAACTCTTTATATATGTGCAAGTACTTCAGCTTCTAATCAATCCTGTAAAGTTTCACTCAAATTGCATTATAGGTAGAAAAGAAGTAGTCCGGACAAACTTTAAAAGAAAAATCATAGAAGGGCAATAACTCTAACAATAATCATTGAACTGGAAAATGCAGACGATATGTACACCTAGACTTGATACTAGTCATTCCAAACTCAAATTTGGATGAAATAGCACATGTAGTTTTTGAGGAGTAGTCTAGACAAATTTTGTGACGGACTAACAGACGATAGAGAATTGATCCTGTCACCGCTACTCTGTAGCAGTCCAGCAGACAACACAATAATAAAAAATATTACTATCTTACCTGATATCTCTAGGTAAACATGACGTGTCAAGTTTATACTCTAGTACAGCTAACTTAGCGAGGGTTTTCAGGGATGGTTGTAGATCAAGGACATGTAAATCAGACAGATCCATCAGTGGAATCTCAGCATCCTCTGCGTCCGGTTCTTCTTGACTAATGGGACTGGAAAAACACGGAAGTTGGTTTATACAGAATTTACCATAGTTTGATTGTTTAGGAAAATAAAAGCTTACAGACACACTCTTCATATCCGTTCCTGTACCCATCGGCATTGAGCAATGAGTGTAAAGTTTCTTGCTCAAGGAAACAACGGTTTGTCCCCAACGGGGTTTAAACCCTAGCAAATAGGGATCCTTAGATTACATAAGTTGCTTACTATAATTACTGAAGTCACACAATTTTTTATTTTCTTCTGTATCCCATCCCAATTTTCTAATTTGTGTATGTTTTGAGCAATTTTTTATCATTAATCAAAGTGGAAAGATACATACCTTGTACCACCAAAGAGGTAAACTTTTGTCCCAATTTTACAACAACATTGACGTCTTCTAGCACAGGGACCTGTTCCTTTCACAGACACTAGTGACCACTTATTTGTTTCTGAAATCATATTTATATAACAACATCATCACTAATACTATAAGAGCTGTGCCATGACAAAACCAACATAATGGGTTTGCAACCAGCATGGATCCGCGCAGTCTGATCAGGATCCATGCTGTTTCCTTACAAACCCTATTACAAGTAGAGAAACTAATAGCGAACAGCATGGATCCTGATCAGACTGCACGCATGCGCAAGCTGGTCTGATCCATGCTGGTCGCAAACCCATTATGTTGGTTTTGTCATGACGCGGCTCATATTTAAACTTGTATTTATACTGTGTTTGATCATGAGTTTCTTATGATTTGAGCAATTTTTATTCTTAAAGAGCATAAAACAAGCTTTTTCTAAACCCGGTATATTTTATTTATATCATATGTTTTTGTATATCGAAGAGATAATATAAATAAATAACCAACACAATTTGCCAAATAGATTAGCCCTAATTTGATTTAGGAACTGTTAATTGTTAAGCAGACACAATTTTTAGTCATAATCTTGGCAGTCAGATCATGTAACCGGCTTTTCTTTCCGGTTATTACCAATTTTTCTGCAAGTGACGACTACATATACCACTTGCACATCAATCCAGGCTCTGGCCAGGCCCTATACTGTAAGTAATAGTGTATTTTATCAAAGCAGAAATTTTTTTTTCTCTCACAAATTGAGCAGGTGAAAGGTTCATATAATATAATATTTAAGTGGCAAAATATGTTTGCTTCAGCGGCCTGTTGTTAAAGAATAAATATATTTTAGGTATGTATTCAAGACTTGTGTAAAACTTACATATTTACAGCAAGGATACACTACATAAATAGTTCTTTAGACAGTAATTTAAACTACTATGTAAATGCAAAAATTAAATTCTCACATGCTTTGCTTCATACTATTCCCCTATCAAACAATCAAATGATATATGCACCGCAAAAAAAGGAATGCTTACATGTGAAGTCATATGACATCAGATATGACGTCAATACACCAAATGACCTCAGAAATTTACTTTTATGCTTAAGTTACTTCAAATACTTTTATCAATTCATTTGCATGATAGAATGGAAATAGACATTAATTTTTTTTTGCATTTTAGTATAATAATTAGAGATGGCAACGAGTAACCGGTTAACCGAGTACTCGATCGAACGTCCGAATATCGGTTAACAAAATTGATATTCGATTACTCGGAAAAAATATTTAATTTCTACTTTTTTTTGCGATTTAGAAAGATGAGTTCAGAAATTCGGAAATGTACACGTATCTATATAAATACTTGTTAAATGCAATCAAAACATCCTTGCAGAGGTGTGAAAATGATATCGTAAATTTAACGAGGCGATTAGCAGTTTGACATGCGTATGGGATTGAACACAGTCCTGTGTCGTTTACGTCATTCGGCCTCTTATGATATTTAATCACCTTTAAATATTAGACAGTTTGTAGCCGAAACTTGTTAATTATTAAAATATTATATAATGATAATAAAAACGTAAATGTATACGGAATATTATGTTGTAGCTTTGTATTTTGCTTCGAGCAGCGGTGGAAAAATTGATATCTCGCACCATTGCGAGTAGAAAAATGCATAGTCTCAGAAAGCTACTACAACATAATTTTTCTTTTATTATATACCTTTTCGTTTGAATTATAAATGATTTTCATTATACTACACTTCTATAAGAAATATCAGAAAATGAAATGTAGCTGTCAAGAAATGAATTTATGACCGACGGATTTTTGCAAAACCGGCCACGTAGGCCTTTTATAATTTTGGTTTCCGTTTCCAAATGCTACGTTTATACACAGCTAAGATCGGAACCAACGTCAAAAATAGTCCGGCACTGCCATATATGGTACCGTATTTGTCACTAACATAATACGGAATTTTCTATCCCTTGAAGCGTATTTGCGCTTCAAGTTCATCCTGTATTTTAGGGAGAAAATTTGTAGGTATATAATAAATGCTGTCATTGACATTTCTTATGTTTATATTCATATTTGTATTTCTTGCATTCCTATTTATAGTTACGAATTCTATTAATTAAAATAGAAAACGAAAGTAGCATGCAGACGGTGTTGATATTGTGTGATAAAACTTTAAAGATCATTGAAAATCATCCGAGTAACCGAGTACTCGATCGGAAAAATGACCGAGTACTCGAGTATTGATTTTGGTATTCGTTGCCATCCCTAATAATAATGCATGGTTTACCTTTCAAATGCTTTGTAATTAATCACTCAGGCCTATAGGCCTTCGTGATTATATTTCTACACATTTGAAATCGCCCCGCGCATCACACACTCAAACTTACATAAAGCAATCAAAAACTCAAGAGCACAAATATTAGCAGAAAATGCAGAAATGCAGAAAAATTTAGAACTACTTACTTGTATCAAATTTAAAGATGTCCTTGAAATGTAGGTCATGCTGTCCATTGTAACCACCAAATATATAAATGCACTTTTTATGTGTGACTGAAAATAATAATCTAACAGACATTAACATTTCATTAAAGTAACTTCTTCAGTTATACAATGTATCTGATATTTTGGGGTTTTGTTTTAAAGCTACATTAAATAAATATGTTAAAATATTTTTGCTGTCGGCCTAAAAAAAGAAGCATACTACAGTTTCATTAACCTTTTTAACAGTATCGTTGTAAATCTCATCAAATATTGTTCATAAATTAGGATTTTAAATGGAAAACCCCACGGTAACACTAAAGTTCGTATACGAATTTTAACAATGCAAATGAAGACTATAATCGGCTCGTGTATGCGCTACGTCACGTTTATAGTTGCTATCCGGAACACGGCAAAATATAAGATTTTCTTTGTGCAAACACACTTTTACTGTTTAAGCTTCACGGTGCACGAGGCCTGTGGTTCAGAAAAATAATCATTCTCATAAAAAAGATTAAATTTGTATGAAAATATCTGTTACAATGCGGAAATATACCGTTAAATTAGGACTGCTACTTATAGTCATGTTTGTTGATTTAATATTGATGTACGGATGATCCGAAGGCGGAGTTTTTCATGCAAACCGAATTCGCCACAATGAGGTTGCACATTTGTATGCTCATTAAACTCATTTTGGTTGTCTGGACACCAAAATAAGATCTGGAGTCGATATGAAACCCAATTTATTAATGAAATGTCGCTATTTCTTTTTTATGAAATTTATTTAATGTAACTTTAAATATGTCTTTGTTTAGGAATGAGCATGCCATTCTCAGATAAACTTGCACAATTACAGTTTCTGATAAAATATTTGTGAAATGTACTTTTTCTATCATGGCACTTTCATTTATAAAATACTGATATTTATAAAACTCTTATAGCTATACACTAAATGTTGTCCCAGACTAAATGCAACAACCAATGAAATACAAGTCTTGCCTGATACTTGTAAAAACAAGAGCTGTTGGTAACACAGCATGTGCGAATATTCTCAGTGCTTGATAGTAAAACAATTACCTGGATAATGTAGAATTTTCTAAGTTCAAAAGGGGCCATAAATCTGTCAAAATCCATGATAGAGTTATGGGCTTTGGATTGTCACCTCCTATAACGCTTTCAAATAAGTACATGTATGTGAAGTTTCTACACATTCCCTTCAGTAGTTTTTGAGATATGAACATGCACACTAGAAAATTAACCAAAATGTGACGCCGAAGCCATGGTGAGTACAATAATAGCTCTCCCTATTCTCCCAAAAGTCAAGCTAAAAATAATCTAAGGTACTAACATCACTGTACACTTACACATAGAATGACTCCTTCTCCCTGTTGGAATGATACCGTGAGTTAATGGCTGGAACCATCTGTTAGTGGCTGTATCAAACCCTTGTATATTATTGCAGTAATACTCCATGTTTGTAAACATATTACCACCCAGATCACTTCTTCCACCAAATACGTACATAAATCTATCAACACCGACTGCTGTATGGAAATCCCGCCATCTTGCTGGTGTACCCTGAATTGGAATCATGTATGTAAATTGAGTTACTTAATCAGATATTGAACTTTTTATACATTTAAAATACAACTTGAAAATAATTTATTTGAAATTTTTGACACCCAGTTGACTCTCGGTAACTTTATATCTATTCCTATTTTACCTCCATCAATGAAATTTTTTTTTTAGACCTTTGGGTGTCCATAGCCAAGTGGTTAAGGTCGTTGACTTCAAACCTCTTGCCTCTAACCGCGTAAGGTTTTGAGTCGAACAAGTGTCTTTAGATTCATTCATGTGAGAAAGCTATTCAGCTAGCTAACAGAACATCAGTATGTCTACTCGAATGACTGTTTGTGCCTGAAATAATGCACAGAGGGTCACACGAGGTCTTACTCCATCAGTAAAGCTGGAAAATGGCCATATGACCTATGCTGTGTTTGTGCAACGTATAACCCAATCAAAAAAAATTTGGACCTTACCTTTGTCCGGAGATATGTCCATGTCTTAGTGTCAAACTCGAATGAGTAGACATCATCAGAAAATCTGTCAATCTGTAACCAAGTAAGACATCATAAACTGCCTTTATTTCTTTATAACACATAATTCTATATTTCATACATTGCATTTTATTCAAACATAGGAATTTGACTGAAAATTGCGATACTGATCTTCAATATTTGTTCAATATTCTTCCACAATTTAGAATATTGTTACAGTTTAAAACCAATTCCTGTCCTGTCTTTATATTTTTTTCCCTCAAGTGAAACATCACTTCTTGATCTTTTTCTTGACAGGCCTCAGCCCTAACAGGTAAGCCAGACCACTGGATTAGAAAGTTAGGTGGTCCTTACGGAAGTCAAGGGCTCTTTTTATTTTGAATTTTGTACTCAAAGATTTTTTATTCATAAATAAAATGCAGCAGACATTTTCACAAAAAATCTTACGACAATTTTTTATCCTAAGAGAAATCTTACGATAAATCTCCTTTTCACAAAAAATCTTGAGAAAATCATTAGTGCAAAATCTGTCGTAACTTTACGATAGGTGTTCCCCGTTTGTAAGTGTAATTTTTTCTCTCTTAAGGGTAAAATATCATGTATCTCTTACCTAAACTGAATAAAAACAAACAAAAAATTGGAGGACAAATATATATTAAGCAAACAGTATGTTATAAATAACAAAAATTAAGGTATAATTATTTTTCAACATAAACATTTGTGACGTCATGATTTGATGACGTCACGATGGAGAGGGTTATGAATAGTTTAAATGTGAACTATACTGTAGTATTATTGAAAACAAATAATTTGTACAATTTTGTGAGTTCGATTTTATTGCCATCATGTACTAGTGGCACCTTTTTATTTATTAATACCTTAGCAATAACGTAGCTGAATCACTTAGATACATAAAATTATTTTCAATCAAGATAGAAAATATATTAGTTTGAATCATTTTTTTGTTCTTATTGAAATTTGATTGTGTTCAATACATATTTCAAGCTCTTTATTACTTGATTTTAAAACCGGAATCAAATAAAGAGCACGCACATCAATATCAAATGAACGTTGCTAGGGATGTTTTTATCGTAAGATTTATCGTAAGTGAATTTTTTATCTTAAGATAAAATTTTAACTTACGAGTGGCTTTGTGAAAATGACTTAAGATTTAACTTAGGATTATCGTAAGTAAAAAACTTAAGATAAATCTTAAGATTTTTTGTGAAAATGTTTGCAGTACTAGTGTTATCTGAATACATTTTCTACCTAAATTTATAAAACAAAGTTTTTAGACTTTCATCAGCAAAATTTTAGCAAGTAAACATGAAAGTTATGGATGATTTGAAAAAATTCTGTGACTAATGAGATGAATGAATATGTACATCAGAAAAATGTTTTTAAACAGCAAGTAAAACATGTTAAACATGTTTTACGATCAAATCACCATTCTTCAAGATGAGCCTTGCACCAATGAGAAAATTCCAGTGGTCTGATGGACCAGTTGCTTGTAAAGTTAGGTGGTCCTTGCCAAAATTGGGTGGTCTCGGACCAGTGGACAACCTTTAACATTGAGGCCTGTTTGACTAGCTTGAACCTTGAGGTCAGTTCTTACAACTTACCCCTTCTTCATATCCACCATATATGTACATTTTCTTCTGTATAACACAAGCAGAATGGCCATCTCTAGCCCCTGGTATAGGTCCACTTGTATCTACTGTACCCCATATTCGTAAAACTGAAATATACATTCACATTAAATTTAACTGAAATTTTTTGTGTTCCTTTTACTCAAGCAGTGGACAGAAATCTTTATTTATTCCATTTATTTTTCAAATTAAGTATAATGCCCAAAACAAAGGAATTATATCTGAATTAATATAGAAGCATACCTTCGATATTAATGATAAACATTCTTTCATTCAATTTCACCAATTTATTACAAAACAAATATAGAACACAATACAAGAACTATGTAAATTATTATAAATAATTAACTTCCCACCAACCTGTATTAAACACAAATAGAACATTGCAAGCGCCATCAGTGTCGTTCCTGCCTCCCCAAATATATGCAAAATCCCCGTAGGCCACTGCAGTATGTCCATACCTTTGATATGGTATCTGTGAATCTCTTGATAATACATGAGGGCGATGCCTTCTACATGGTAAGGGAAGTAACTTCCAGCGTAGTGAGACTGATTGAGAAATAACAAGAGCTGTCACAGAAGACAGCCAAGCTCGACTAATAAAATACTGGACGCAGTAAGGAGAACAAAACTATGAAAGAAAAATCAATTATGTATAATTATGTATTTAGTTATAGTAAAAAAATAACATTTGTAAACATAAATTCCAAGATCAAGGGAAGTAATTCTAGAAATAGTCACGATAGAGTTATGAACATGTGTGTAATGATAAGAAATATATATTTGAAGTTTGAAGTAAGATACCTTAAAAAGTAAAGAAGTTATAATATTTCTTAAAGAAAATCCTAAGTTCAAAGAGAGATAAATCTGTAAAAATTGCTTCAAGAGTTATGAACATTGTCACATAAAATGTAATTGATGATAAGGAATAATTATTTGAAGTTTGAGGTAAATACCTTTAAAACTAAAAAAGGTATAGTAAAATATAACATTTTTCTAGTAAAAAAATCTAAGTTTATGGGGAGATAATTCTTGCAATATTGGTGCTAGAGTTATGAACCTTATCACATAAGATATGGATGATGATAAGGTACATAAAAATTATATTTGAAGTATGAAGTTGATCCCTTTAGAAATAAATAAGTTACAGTGAAAAATAATATTTTTTAAGGAAAATTCTAAGTTCAAGGGGAGATAAATCTGAAAATATTGGTGCTAGAGTTATGAACCTTGTCACATAAGATTGGGATGATGATAAGGTACATATATTTGAAGTATGAGGTTGATCCCTTAAGAAACAAAGAAGTAACAGTAAAAAATAGTATTTTTTAAGAAAAATTCTAAGTTCAAGGGGAGATAAATCTGAAAGTATTGGTGCTAGAGTTATGAACTTTGTCACATAAGATTGGGATGATGATAAGGTACATATATTTGAAGTATGAGGTTGATCCCTTAAGAAATAAAGAAGTAACAGTAAAAAATAGTATTTTTTAAGGAAAATTCTAAGTTCAAGGGGAGATAAATCTGAAAATATTGTAGCTAGAGTTATGAACCTTGTCACAAAAGATGTGGTTGATGATAAGGAATATATATTTGAAGTTTGAAGTTGATACCTTAAGAAATGATAAAGTTATAGTGAAAAATATTTTACTGCACCAAAACTTTAATCTGAAATCTGGACGCGGACGCCGACTCCGGGGCGAGTAGGACAGCTCTCCATATACTTCGTATAGTCGAGCTAAAAATGTATGATGTTAGAATATCAATGACCCTTCAATGAATTGTGATTCTTACCTTCAAGATACAGTTCTGTGTCCTGATATCATGTTGTCAGGTATTGATAAACTTTTAATTGTTAGATAAAACTTGCTACTCTTAATTTGTATATGTTTATTCTACATATGCGCTGAAACAAATTAGCATCACATCTCGATAACTTTCAAAACTTGTCCCTATTTTCTCCTGGAGGTGATTCGAGAATTCTGCGTTTCAATAGCCTAGTTGTTGATGATAACATGGACTAACCATTCAAAATCTTTGTATAACTTTTCAAAACTTTGCCTCATTGACAATGACACCTGAATCTAATTTTTCTAATTGATATCAATTAAATAGGAATTTTGAATACATTAACAAAATTTCACCTGCTTAATTTGTTACAAATATCCATGGATATATCATTTTTTTTATACAAATGACATATATGCCACCAGTACATGTATGCCAGTCTGCACTTTCATGCATTTTTACAAGAATGTATCCTGTTCAAAAGCTCCTTTTTTTTCAATCTTACAATGAAATCATTTTCACTACAAAGGGAAAATTCTAAATCTAATGATGACAAGTTTATTTGACAAGTTCAGTACGTTACAAAGATTTAAAAGAAACTAGTTTATCTTACTGGTATCTAGTACATGAACATCTATTGGCAGTCTTGTCTCGTAGTCTTCACCAGTGCAGTATCCACCAAAACTGTAGATGCGCTCGCCAATGGCCACGGCTGCATGGTTAACACGTCTTGGACCACCTTCAAGATGAACAGTCCATCTCAGCATTTTTCCCTCACTTTATTCATTACAGTCACCTAAAATAATAATAGTTATTTAATTTGTGTAATAATCAAAATGCCAACTGCCTATCAAAATCCATATTACTATAATATATTACAAGGTAGCTAGGACTTTAGTTTAACCCTGGACCCTCAGAATACTATATTAGTACTCTTCTAACTAAAATTTGTCCTCAAATTTTAAATGGAAACATTGAGCAATGTGAAGTAACTTATAAAGCTTTAAACAGTCATGGTCCCCTGATGAGCACAAATGTCACAGGCAAGGGTGAAAACAATTTATCGATACATCCTGACCAGGAACTCAAACATAAAAATTAAAACCCTAATTTATTAATATGTACTTTTTCCAATAGTGGCAACCCCCTTGCGGGGACCAAGCCATGATGCATCCATCTCACCAAGACATGTCACTACACTCGTCTCAATATTTTAACTGCAAGACTAGCAGATTTTACAAACTGATATTAGAATCTACACAGTTGTCTACTTTTGCGAACGCTGATCAGCTGATTTGACATCTGATGTGGGTCCTACTAAACACTGCTAAGGACTGCTAAGGACCGCTAAGGACTGCTAAGGAGCCACAAAGGACTACTAAAGAGGCACAAAGGACCTTAAAATACCTACTAGGCCATTCTTATATTACATGGTATTATTTTTAGTGAAAAAAAAAATATAATTTTAAGAAAAAATATGATTTTGGTGAAAATTTTATGAGTTGTCAGACCGCTAAGGACTGCTCAGATACACAAAAGACTGCTAGGGAGGCACAAAGGACCTTAAAATACCTCCTAGGGCATTCTTATAATACAAGGTAGTATGTTTAGTGACAAAAAATGTATTATTTTAAGAAAAAATATCATTTTAGTGATAAAATTTATGTTTTTGAAGAGTTGTCGGACCGCTAAGGACTGCTCAGGTGCACTAACAACTGCTAGGGAGGCACAAAGGACCTTCAAATCCCTCCTAGAACATTCTTATAATATATGGTAGTAAGTTAATAGACAAAAATGTATTATTGTAAGAAAAAAATTTAATTTTGGTGATAGAATTTATGCTTTCGATGAGTTACAGGACCGCTAAGGACTGCTCAGGTGCGAAAAGGACTGCTAGGCAGGCACAAAGACCTATAAATATTTCCTAGGGAGGCACAAAGGACCTTAAAATAACTGTTGGGGCATTCTTATAATTCATGGTAGTATGTTTAGTGACAAAAAATGTATAATTTTAAGGAAAAATATCATTATAGTGATAAAATTCATGTTTTTGAAGAGTTGTCGGACCGCTAAGAACTGCTCAGGTGCACTAACAACTGCTAATATAATAATCAACACCAAAATACATAAAAATAGAAAGATCACTAAACAAAATTAAATAGAATTACTATCCTCTAATAATTATTAATTTAAGGTCTTTTGTGCCTCCCTAGCAGTCCTTTGTGCCCCTTAGCGGTCCTCCAATTCATCGAAAACATAAATTCTATCACCAAAATTAATTTTTTTCTTAAAATATTACGTTTTTTATCTATAAACCTACTACAATATATTATAATAATGCCCTAGGAAGTAACTTAAGGTCCTTTGTGCCTCCCTAGCAGTTCTTTGCGCACATGAGCAGTCCTTAGCGGTCTGGCAACTCATCGAAAACATAAATTCTATCACCACAATTATATTTTTTCTTAAAATTATACATTTTTTCTCACTAAATATACTACCATATATTATAAGAATGCCCTAGGAAGTAATTTAAGGTCCTTTGTGCCTCCCTAGCAGTTCTTTGCGCACCTGAGCTCTCCTTAGCGGTCCGGCAACTCATCGAAAACATAAAGTCTATCACCACAATTATATTTTTTCTTAAAATTATACCTTTTTTCTCCCTAAACATACTACCATAATATTATAAGAATGCCCTAGGAAGTAATTTAAGGTCCTTTGTGCCTCCCTAGCAGTTCTTTGCGCACATGAGCAGTCCTTAGTGGTTTGGCAACTCATCATAAACATAAAATCTATCACCACAATTATATTTTTTCTTCAAATTATACATTTTTTCTCACTAAACATACTACCATATATTATAAGAATGCCCTAGGAAGTAATTTAAGGTCCTTTGTGCCTCCCCAGCAGTTCTTTGCGCACATGAGCAGTCCTTAGCGGTCCAGCAACTCATCGAAAACATAAAATCTATCACCACAATTATATTTTTTCTTAAAATTATACCTTTTTCTCACTAAACATACTACCATATATTATAAGAATGCCCTAGGAAGTAATTTAAGGTCCTTTGTGCCTCCCTAGCAGTTCTTTGCGCACCTGAGCAGTCCTTAGCGGTCCAGCAACTCATCGAAAACATAAATTCTATCACCCCAATTATATTTTTTCCTAACATTATACATTATTTCTCACTAAACATACTACCATGTATTATAAGAATGCCCTAGGAGATATTTAAATGTCCTTTGTGTCTCCCTAGCAGTCCTTTGTGCCCCTAGGAGGTATTTTAAGATTCTTTGTACCTCCCTAGCAGTCCTTAGCGCGTCCTGCAATTCATCGAAAACATAAATTCTATCACCAAAATTATATTTTTTCCTTAAAATAATACATTTTTTATCTATTAACTTACTACAATCTAATATAAAAATGCCCTAGGAAGTTAATTTTAGGTCCTTTGTGCCTCCCTAGCAGTCCTTTGCGCACCTGAGCTCTCGATCCTTAGCAGTCCAGCAACTCATCAAAAACACAAAATTTCTATCACGAAAATTAAAATTTTTTCTTAAAATAATACATTTTTTGTCACTAAGCATACTACCATATATTAAAAGAATGTTCTAGAAGTGATTTTAAGGTCCTTTGGGCCTCGCTTATAGTCTTTTGTGTACCTGAGCAGTCCTTAGCGGTCTGGCAACTCATCGAAAACATAAATTCTATCACCAAAATTATATTTTTTCTTAAAATTATACATTTTTTCTCACTATACATACTACCATATATTATAAGAATGCCCTAGGAAGTAATTTAAGGTCCTTTGTGCCTCCCCAGCAGTTCTTTGCGCACATGAGCAGTCCTTAGCGGTCCAGCAACTCATCGAAAAACATAAAAATCTATCACCACAATTATATTTTTTCTTAAAATTATACCTTTTTTTCTCACTAAACATACTACCATATATTATAAGAATGCCCTAGGAAGTAATTTAAGGTCCTTTTGTGCCTCCCTAGCAGTTCTTTGCGCACCTGAGCAGTCCTTAGCGGTTTGGCAACTCATCGAAAACATAAATTCTATCACCACAATTATATTTTTTTTCTTAACATTATACATTTTTTTCTCACTAAACATACTACCATATATTATAAGAATGCCCTAGGAGATATTTAAATGTCCTTTTGTGTCTTCCTAGCAGTCCTTTGTGCCCCTTAGGAGGTATTTTAAGATTCTTTGTACCTCCCTTAGCAGTCCTTAGCGGTCCTGCAATTCATCGAAAACATAAATTCTATCACCAAATTATATTTTTCTTAAAATAATACATTTTTTTTATCTATTAACTTACTACAATATAATATAAAAAATGCCCTAGGAAGTAATTTTAGGTCCTTTGTGCCTCCCTAGCAGTCCTTTGCGCACCTGAGCTCTCGATCCTTAGCAGTCCAGCAACTTATCAAAAACATAAATTCTATCACGAAAATTAAATTTTTTCTTAAAATAATACATTTTTTGTCACTAAGCATACTACCATATATTAAAAGAATGTTCTAGAAGTGATTTTAAGGTCCTTTGGGCCCTCGCTTATAGGCTTTTTGTGTACCTGAGCAGTCCTTAGCGTCTGGCAACTCATCGAAAACATAAATTCTATCACCAAAATTATATTTTTTCTTTAAAATTATACATTTTTTCTCACTATACATACTACCATATATTATAAGAATGCCCTAGGAGATATTTAAAAGTCCTTTGTGCCTCCCTAGCAGTCCTTTGTGCCCCCTAGGAGGTATTTTAAGATTCTTTGTGCCTCCCTAGCAGTCCTTAGCGGTCCTCCAATTCATCGAAAACATAAATTCTATCACCAAAATTATATTTTTTCTTAAAATAATACATTTTTTATCTATTAACTTACTACAATATAATATAAAAATGCCCTAGGAAGTAATTTAAGGTCCTTTGTGCCTCCCTAGCAGTTGTTAGTGCACCTGAGCAGTCCTAAGTGGTCCGGCAACTCATTGAAAGCATAAATTCTATCACCAAAGTTATATTTTTTTTTAAATTATACATTTTTTCTCACTAAACATACTACCATATATTATAAGAATGCCATAGGAGGTATTTAAATGTCCTTTGTGCCTCCCTAGCAGTCCTTTGTGCCCCTAGGAGGTATTTTAAGATTCTTTGTTCTTCCCTAGAAGTCCTAAGCGGTCCTGCAACTCATCAAAAGCATAAATTCTATCACCAAAATTATATTTTTTTCTTATAATAATACATTTTTGTCTATTAACTTACTACCATATATTATAAGAATGTTCTAGGAGGGATTTGAAGGTCCTTTGTGCCTCCCTAGCAGTTGTTAGTGCACCTGAGCAGTCCTTAGCGGTTCGACAACTCTTCAAAAACATGAATTTTATCACTATAATGATATTTTTCTTTTAAAATTATACATTTTTTTTATCACTAAACATACTACCATGTATTATAAGAATGCCCTTACAGGTATTTTAAGGGTCCTTTGTGCCCTCTTTAGGAAATATTTTAAGGGTCCCTAGCAGTCCTTTTCGCACCTGAGCAGTCCTTAGCGGTCCGGCAACTCATTGAAAAAGCATAAATTCTATCACCAAAATCATATTTTTTTCTTACAATAATACATTTTTGTCTATTAACTTACTACTATATATTATAAGAATGTTCTAGGAGGGATTTGAAGGTCCTTTGTGCCTCCCTAGCAGATGTTAGTGCACCTGAGCAGTTCTTAGCGGTCCGACAACTCTTCAAAAACATGAATTTTATCACTAAAATGATATTTTTTCTTAAAATAATACATTTTTTGTCACTAAACATACTACCTTGTATTATAAGAATGCCCTAGGAGGTATTTTAAGGTCCTTTGTGCCTCCCTAGCAGTCTTTTGTGTATCTGAGCAGTCCTTAGCGGTCCGACAACTCATAAAATTTTCACCAAAATCATATTTTTTCTTAAAATTATAATTTTTTTTCACTAAAAATAATACCATGTAATATAAGAATGGCCTAGGAGGTATTTTAAGGTCCTTTGTGCCTCTTTAGTAGTCCTTTGTGGCTCCTTAGCAGTCCTTAGCGGTCCTTAGCAGTCCTTAGCAGTGTTTAGTAGGACCGTCTGAGGGTGATGTTGTCAAACGGCAAACTCTGCCACACGCCCACAGTCTATCAAATGGTGTTATCTCCGGACCTTTTCCTGACTTAAGGAAATTAAGAGAAAAGAGGAGAATCCCAAAAAGATATTTCAAGAATCCCAAAAAGATATTTCAAGAGTTTGTTTGTTTTGACAAATGAGCAATGTTGCAATATTTCTGCTACAAATATTCTGACAATTTGTCAGACATTCAAATATGTGGCAATTGAAAAATTAAATTCTACTAAACTGCCATACTTACCAAAACATTGTTCTAAGTATGTACGGGTGGCATAAATCGTTTAAAGTGTTAAGAAATTAGTTCAAATTAAAATGTTCTATTCCGTTGCAAACCGGTGACAGCATAAACTATTTAAACTGTGAAAGTTGTGGTATCGCGATAGGTAAATACCACTAATTTTATATCACTGAAAATATTAATGTTAAACACCACTATTTTATGTCCGAGAATAGATCTACACTTAATACCGTTTTATATGTAAGAGAGTGAAAACACTCCGGACTAGATAATATTTTTACAGGAAATCAGTCTGATAAATGGCTAATTTATGATAAAATGTCTATCAATCGTTCCATTTCTATCCGCATCAATACACAAAGAGTATGGTATTTCGCGCCTTTTTCAATTTCAGAAGTGTAATTTCTATTTACAAATAAAATTCAGCTGTTATAGTTCTTTGAAGTCGTACAATAAGCTTTTTTCATATTTGACAAAAAAGAAAAAATAACGAATCTCCCGTCAATTGGTGACATAAATCTAGGATCAAAAATAAAATATATAATCTATTTTTTTTTTGTCCCAGCATTACTGTATTGTAACATTGCCAGCGATTTGCAGAAAATGTGCAAAACCGTAGCATTCAATGAGATACCAGCTGAATTGATGAAAATGTGAGGTTTAAAAGTTTCAAAGTTATTTAAGAAAAGAACACTACATTGTTTTCATAAGAAAATGATCTGTTTCATGTTCTCTAGGATAATTTTTCACTAGAGAATTTATTTTGATTAAAAAATTATTAAAGTTAAAAAAAATGTACTAGGACATGTATTTTTTACACCCAGGATGACACAAAAAGATAGTATGAATTCATTTGTTTCCACTGTGGTCCAGGATGTATTTACATGTAGAATGACATGTCCTAATAAGTCACAAAAACTTTGAATTATATTTTATTAAAAATGTAAACATGAGTACAATTTACAAGCAATAATATGAGCCGCGTCACGACAAAACCAACATAGTGCGTTTGCGACCAGCATGGATCCAGACCAGCCTGCGCATCTGCGCAGTCTGATCAGGATCCTTGCTGTTCGCTATCAGTTTCTCTACTTGTTATAGGGTTTGTAGGCGAACAGCATGGATTCTGATCAGACTGCGCGGATGCGCAGGCTGGTCTGGATCCATGCTGGTCGCTAACCCATTATTTTTGTTTTGTCATGACGCGGCTCATTATGTCTTTTACTGAAACATTGAACTACTAATTGGCCGAATACTCTGTTTAAAAGGATATGACTAAAACATTCTTAAAGACTGACACACTGCCTACCTACCCAAAATAGCTATCAGCGTTAAACTAGACATATTCCATCCAAACAAAATGTAATAAAATTTAGGAGTTAGTGATTACGAAGTTAGCACATATAATATTTGTAACCAGAGGAAAGATAATTTTTGAACTGACATTGTTGTTTAGTGTGATTGTAAAATAAACAGAAAACCATAAAGAGTATTTGTATTGCAAGTATTTGTATTGCAATAACACATTATAAGCGAAAGACAACCGCTGAGGACAGGTAAAATAACAGCAAAATGCACGATTTGCGCCCCTTTAGTCGTTCCATTGATAACGATAAGTTCTGATAACCAATGTTCTTGACATAAAACAAATGAATTACATTATGAAAAAACATATATTTTTTCACATATATTCGTATCAAATACAATTTTATTTTTACATTGAGTTTCATGAATTCACTGCTAAATATTCCCTTTTGATCACGTGTTTTAATTATAAAATAATTAACAAATTACTTTTCAATGATATTTTTTTGTTAACGACTCAAACTAAGACGATAAGATTTCCTGATATTTAAAAAGAAATAGCTTTCTGTTGTAGATTTCGTCCAAAGAGTTTGCAACAATTTTGGTCTTGGAGTTCTTAAGCAAAGAACTCTTAACTCAACCGACCTGCGTCAATGGCCTGTTCATTAGCCGTGTTTACCATGCTCAACATATTATGAAACAAGTATATCTGAGCATTTTGGTTCAAAACACGCAACCTATTTTTTCATGAGGCAGACGACAGTAAAAAGTGTAAGTTTGCACTTAAACAAAATCGAAACTTAGCCATGTAAAATGAAACGATTATGGCGCTTTTGGGTACGCTATTAAAATCCATAACATTTCAATAATAAAAAAAAATAAAGTCGCTAATTAGTCCGTACGAATGCCGTCCCATACGAGTACAACTTTTAACGAAAAGGTGACTCGCACCGCTTTATAATGGATCTTTTATAAGGATGTCAAAAGTTTTGTCTTTCAAGAATAAAATACATTTTATAACTCGAGAAACGGGAACTATGAAAATGAAATACGTTTTTTATGAATGGGGTGGGAGTTAGAGGGTTTCATTGAAAACACAGGTGTTCACCAGTTTAATTAAAAACCCACAATTTAGGCACTGAAAAGTGCGTATTAAACATTACGCCCGTTGCCACATAATTGTTGGGTGTGTGTAGGTAATTAATATAACAATTACAAGTGATATACAATACAGCAAGAAAATAGTTTTTAAATGTCAACAAAAACATTCGTCGTTCTTCTGTACCCTCCATACAGAGGCTGGTAGTATTAACCATTATTTATATCACTTGAGTCAGTTGGTGGTGAGCAGACCAATTTTTTCATCTTTCTTTCAGACTTAATTGAGCCGCGTCATGACAAAACCAACATAACGGGTTTGCGACCAGCATGGATCCAGACCAGCCTGCGCATCCGCGCAGTCTGATCAGGATCCATGCTGTTCGCTATCAGTTTCTCTACTTGTTATAGGGTTTGTAAGCGAACAGCATGGATCCTGATCAGACTTCGCGGATGCGCAGGCTGGTCTGGAGCCATGCTGGTCGCCAACCCATTATGTTGGTTTTGTCGTGACGCGGCTCTAATTTCGTTCATGACTCAATATTATCTATCCCCTTGAGCCAAAATCTTGATCATGAGTGTGTCAATTTGACAGGCACCCACAAACTTAACCACTTTAAATTAACAAAACTACTTAAAAAAATAAATACGTAACATAACAAACAAACAAAAATTGAAAATAGTTGTAAATTTCATTCAAAATAAAAAAAATCAACAATAGCCTGCATTAAATAAAATATTAAAAAAGACACCCTTTAAGTCTTTCCATTTTACCTTATTTGGACATTTATTATGTACTTTTAACTATTCGTTGATTCGTTATAGAATTCAGTACTTGCTACAGCATTGAAATAACTACGCGTATTGCCAAATTTATATTTTATTTTCTTTCATTTGTTTTTCTTCTCTTTTCAAATTTAATCAATTTGTTTATTTTTGTCATTAGAGAACATTAAATATATAAAGATGTACATGTACACAATTTTGTGTTAGAATGATTTACTTTTTCACTTTGGTTTTTGTTTTCCACATTATCTTTGATGCATTTAAAAAAAGAAAATACGTGCGTTATTAACTTAATTACATTTGCTTTAATTTCCAGTTGCAGCCGAAGCTTTATCAAAGGTGTACTATGGAAATCGGTGAATTCCCTATACGTCATGGCGTTCAATGGAGTTGTTTCGATTCTTGTGGAGCAAAAGTAAAATTGGACATGATTTAGTAATCATATTTCCTTCTATAATGTCAGCAAGGTCATAATGATCATGTTTTTCCTGGAAACAAATTACTTTGACACCGTCCCTTGTCTGCGATCTTTTGATGAACTCTCCGATAAGAAGGCGAGAAAATTAGATTTTCCGCAATATCGTTGACAACCTCTTTGTCGCGTGCAATTTCCATGACCGAAAGTTATTTCTCTTTTCCGGATAATTTTAATAAAGTCGCATGACAAACTTTATTAGACAACAAATAATTGGATAAAATTCCTGACTGGTCAAGTTTTGATTGTAAATCGAGATCCCTTGAAACCACTTCAGAAACATTGCTTTCGGAACGTACAACTGTCACCCAAGGGGACAAAACGTGGATTTCACTGTTCAAAATTACGTTTTAAATAATGAGCTTTGCACGGCAATTCAGATGTGATTCCATTTCTCTCTTATTTCTCTTTTTTTGTATGATCGATTCGAGTTTTTTTTTACATTGTTATTTCAGGTATTTATATTTGTATAATAAATGACATAAATCTATGAAACCTTTTCTGATAATATTAGTAAACATTTCAGAACAATTGAAATTGAAAGTGCTCCCTTAAACAAACAGAAGAATTATATAAAAAATATTGCGGATTGAGATTTAAAAAAACCCAATTGATTAGTAACCATTTAGAATCTTTGTGTTCGACTAATTTCCATAAAAATGTGCTTTGTACGACTTTGTCTAATTGAGTAAAAAATGTTTCATGCATACATATATTACTTTCTTTTATATCATTGCTTATTAGATAATGAATTTATGGATGATAAACTGTGTTTAAATCATAAGTGAAAATAGATTATATGTTTTGTTCAAACAAAAACAACAAAGCGAAACAAAATCATATAGAAACAAAATAAAAATGGTATACAGGTCTTTATGTCAATCAACATTTGTTATTATATACATGCAGTCTCAGTTTAAGATAAAAGACAGAAGAATCACGACCATATACATGTCTGCATTTGCAGTAACAAAATTTACTAGACAGTTTATTTACTCTTGTGATATCTTTGTTCAAATAGCTGAAGGCCCTCATTATGTTAATCATTCTGTTAAAAAACATCCACTTCCAAAAATAAACGTTGAGTCATGTAAACCCAGAAAAAAAAACAAAGAAAAAAAACCCAAAAACACACAAAAAATCACAAAAAACAAGTGTTTACAAGTATCAATCGAGCTCCTGTTTATAAGATATGATCACTGACAATGTATGTTACTATTTTTGTAATCTATTATCTATCTATCTATTCATTTTGGGCTTTACGGTACCCGGATCTGAAAACATATCCTGGTCAGAGCTTCAAATGAAAACAAATCATTCTGATGGAACCAAATTATTAAACAAAAGAGCTCTGTTTTCCGGGTTAACGAAACTGAACAAAAAATGCTACAAAGTTAAACAGAAAGCTTAAAGGCACATTATGCTTAAGAAAGAAATAAATTTTTACCTACTTAAGAAAGGTCAATGAGCTTGATAGTGTTCAAATAATA